CTTCTCCAGTTTAGCTCACTGTCTTTTCTTAGTTTTCTGTTTGGGCTTGAAAACTTTGGACGCACCTTCAAGTGAGGCGCATTATTTCCGGATCTTCGCCAATAACACAAAACTTCAGGGTCTATAGTTGAAGGCCACCCTTATAGCCTTTGTCTCCCAAACCGAATCTGCATTTACAGTGAAAGATCTCTTAGCTTTGGAGACTCATCTTGTACTCTGGCAACAAAACTACTCAACAAGTACTGTTCCATACGAGGAGAAGCTACTTCAAAACGGATTGGTCATTTCTTTAGACCCTGAAAAAATACGCTCAGATAGTTAGGCTGTAAACTCTGAACGATAAAAGAGGCAACGAAAAAACTGTGCACTGGTAAGAGGAACAGCGAGAGCGGGGTCGTCTAAAGAAGTCTGGAAGCATGAAACGCATATTTTTCCGCCCCCTTCATTCCACGCAATCAATCTGTTTACAGCCATACTGCATCTCATGTCGATATACTCTGTCTAGCTGCTTTTCCTAGCCATCCTGGATCCTGAGGCACTGATTAGATCGCACTCCCGTCTTTAGCGAATGAGTATTTTACCGATTTTAATCATGTCCTTTGGGCCCATCCTTAAAGCCACTGGATACTCAGTATTTTCCGCGCCAGCTAACATGAAACTCAGGGGAAAGCATCAAAACGATCATTGTTTTACAAACTTCTATAATTGCTTCTAAAAATGATGACAGATCGCTAAAATCACTAGAAACTACTAAAAAATATATCATACCTACAATTATGCGGGAATATTATTGTCTGAATGTTGCATCTACAAGTATCTTGGTGACTCTGTTCCCAAACACTGTGTTGCACTAAACGCAGTGAGGTTATTTTTTGCATCTTATGATATAATTGCTCTTCATCAGTGGTATCTTCGGAGTCAAATATCTAAATCTACTCTTTCTCGTGTGTTATGGTTGCTTTGTTTTCATCTGTCGATTTTCTGACTCGCTGGAGGATGCTTGTATGCCTGTGCAAGAACCTTTGTAATTTCACTTGTCATTATGACTTCCCTTCAATATAACATTTGTTTCATTTCCGGTATGCATTGCCCTTCCGCTCTTATGTCCCTTGGTAGATTTCTTGTGTAAACTTTGAACTCATGGTGACCAAAGCAAACAGCCGGACTAGAACCGAAGTTGCACATGGGCATGCAAGTAAATCTCTACAACAAGGTCGCTGCAGCAGATTTCGAGACAAACTAAACGTTCAGGGGGAACACAATTTACAATTATTAATCTGTGCAAAAGAAGTGAAGCATCAAAGAAACATTGTATGCCGTTCAAAATTACGCGACAAAATTATACTGTTAGCGAAAGTATCCAGATATACGTTCCAGAAATCCACTTATCTACCTATCTATCTATTAATTTGTCTATGCATGTGTACATATATTATATCTACATTTATACATACATATAACATATATATTTACGTGCACTTTACTATTCTTCATGTGCATGTATATATATATATATATATATATACCTTTCTGTCTACTTACTCGTCCGCACTTTCTACGTAACTTTTATCAGTGAATCTTTCTCTAGCATATTGCATTTTTTTATTTAGATTTCAATGTTCACGAGCGTACATTATTCCGCTGGAAATGCTTATCACTGGGTTGTTCTGTTGCCTCGTCTTCCAACAGATCAAGTGTTTGATCCATCAGATGGATATATTTTTATGTGGAAGCAATCCGGATAGTCTTACATAACACATTCCATTAAAATAAATGAGAGCATTGATCTAGTTTGGCAGACGATACATTCGTTTAGAAAAAGCAAGTTTTTCGTGACTAACTGACAAACCTGCGCTGCAAGACGTTCCTTCTCCTGGTTTAACTGTTGTTCCAGTTCTTCATACATGCGGGAAAGGTGTTCTTCCTGCTTGCACAGTTTTCTGAAAAGTTAAGAGAAAATTGATTCCCTTCGGTTATTGTGTGTTTATTAGCTGAATCATTATCTGTCGGTGCACGCGGAAGCAGTTTACGGCTTCATATAACTATACTCCTATCCTATCACGCACTTTGATTGAATAAAGAACCAGGTTTTACTAGCACTATATCGAGCATACTTTCATAAGTTGAATATTTTTCATTTACAAAATTTTGAGATTAATGCACGTATAACTGAATTAGCTCAGTAAATCTGCAGCGCTGACACCTAAATGCCCTTTTCATGACAGTATTTAATGGTGAAGAAATTTAGAACGTGTTTTTTCCCTTTCAATTCCGCAATTTTAAATGTTGAACCTACACCTAAAATGGTAATACAAGCAATACTACTAGATGAAGTTTCACAAAGAATAATCTACTTGAAAAGCTTTGAAATGAAGGAGCAAAGCTAGTATCCACATTTCAATAAACCGGTGGTTGTTAATTGTTAGAAAATTCCCTCAATGGAAATTCCATTGACTCAGGATCGGAATGGATGTTCTGACTCCTGAAAGGCTAGTTGAGGATTCGGTTCGACAATCATCTGATACTCTCTTGAATTCATTTGTTTTGAGAAGTCTTCATCTTTTCTGACCTGCCAGCTACTCTTACTTGGTTAGGCATTAATGAATGAACTGCTGGTTAGGCAAACATGTGATAAGATTCGAAAACAGCTGCTTGCATTTTGTATATATACAAAAGGTAATCCTTATACATTAAAACTAAACTCGGACCGGCTTTATACATGTGTTTAAGGCTCAAACAAGTATACCAAAGCGACCAGTCAAAATGTCTAATAAGACATTACAGTCCAGTGTTCTACGTAGGATGCCAAAGTCTAAGATTTTATCCTTTGAGATTTTCTCCATACAGTAAAGCAACGCGGATAATATCTATATTATTTTTTCCGTGTGTTCGCCAGTGTGCCTTTGCTTGATTTTGAATTGAAGTGAAGAGACAAGTCATTTAGAGATAAAGAAAAGTATTGCATCACTTCAAGTATGCATTCAAGTTCTTTGAACTATTTGGACTGTTTTCACAATTTTTCGATTTATTGCCATTCACCTTGAAACCGGCAAAATTTGTGTCTCATTTAATGTCCATTCTCTTTCGTGAAGTAATATGTAAACTACAGAAAAGGTTACTTTAGTAGATCAGTTTCGATACTTAACACTCGTGGCTATTTTTCCAGAAATGTAGAGTACCCCGCTTAGGACACAAAGCTTCGATATGGAGTGATCTCTGCCGATGAATGAAGACCATACAGGGTGCGAACTTTGGTTTAGACAACTGAAATAAGGTCTTCATGTCTACCTGGTAAGTGCATCTACATAACACATGGGGTAATTCAGTTCATGTTGGGTTCGCTTTCAAAAAGATCACCACAGCCTGGAAGCAAATAATTCAGCTTCAATGAGAGTTATTTCTGATTCAGGATGCGTTTAGAATATGATCCAGTCGTTACTCATAGTAATTCCGTGGCTGAGTCCCGGGAAGTCCTCCCCCCTGGCTGCCTCCAAGGTTTGTGACTCCTGAAGATTGCAAACAACAGTCCCTTGATTCATGGTGGTAACCGCAGATTTTGTCTTGGTTTTAGTAAACGGATACGCGAAAGTAAATCTCCAAAAAGATATAGTAAACCCCAAGATGCGCCCTGCATTTGTCAAACATTTTTGAAATTTTGAAGGTCCATTTGAACTATCATTAGCGTTATTCAAAACAGTCAATAACGCTATTACAGTGGATGAGTCTGAGAAAATTTATTTACTTGAACGCTTGGTCGATCAGCATTTGCAGCTGCAGTTAGACGAACGGCAAATGAGGTCAACTTACCGGCATCAAGGCAGACAAATAAATTACTGGCACGAATAACATAGAAGAAAAAACTGACAGTTGGGAGTGCGTACTAAAGTATTTTGAGGTTTCGACGTTTACTTGACATTTCTCGTTTTCCTGACATTTTTTGTCGAAACAACACATAAGAAAGGAGTAAACTGCAAAGATGCCAACTAGTCTCGCGCCAGGTATTCCTTATTGGCTCTCTCGGAGATTTTCCCACGCCCGGACAACTTACAGTATGCACGCATCAATATAAACTACTTTATGTCAGGTTGGTCACATTGGATGGGTGAGTCTCAACTTCAAGAATTCAACTTGCTTTAAAGACAATAGATTCTACCTAGGAATAGTTGTGTATTCTTGCTAGGTTAAGGTTCAAACGTTTGATCTACCGGTGAAATTTCGGGAAAAACAGGAGACTTTTGTCTCAACATGTTGCAACTCAAAATAAAGTCAGTTTTCATTGAAGCAGTGGTCTTGAGAAGACTACCTTGGTGGCGGAGGCAAGTATCCTCATAATACTGTCTCAATCAACAGTCATCATATTGTTACGATTACAGTGAATAGTGCAACAATTGTTGGTTGCTGAATCCGACGGACCACTCAATTAGCATGTAAAAACTCCTTGGCATACACAAAGTTAGATACAATGCACACTCACCCTACGATCACCATAAACACCCTTACTAATGTCGCCTTTAGTAGCAGCGGTTTAAAAAAACCCCTTCTCTTTACATACTCCTATAAGAGGCGTTTTTGCTGCAATCGAAGCTTCTCAAAAAAACCTCTAATACACCAAGTTTTTTAAAAGAAAGAAGGTGCACTCAACTGCTTCTCAGGTGGTGTTTAACTGAGCGGTCCTCGAAGAGATTCAAATACGATAGTCATCCATAAAAAAAGGAGGAAATAATAAGAGAGCTCATCAGACTACCATCTGATCACAGCCAGACTGAAGTGCTATCCCAAGGAGTTTTGATTTGGTGACTTCCTGCAAATGGTTTGAACGACCCGCATTAAAGCAGGATAAAGTCACATTCATCTCTCAATGACGGAATCCACATTAGATGGTCACTTTTTTCTGGATACTCAAGTGACGACTCCCCGGATGGAAGTTCCACTCAAATTGTGCTTCTCGGCTTTTCAACAGAGACTGGCAATCTAGTTCAATCCCGTCTGAACAGCTATCATCAGTTTTTGTTGATAAATTTCTGAGAGCATGATCCTGATGTGTCCCAGGTGTGCAAAATACGCATGTGAAGTACGTACTTTTGAATAGTTTGATCCATACTTTGATGCTCCGATTTTGCAGTTTCCAGTTCTTTCGCGATGCCAGTGAGCATTCTTTCAAAGTCCGATAGAAGTGGCGGGTTGTCCCGTTTTAGCTGCTTCCATATGCGTGATATCTGCTCGTAGCTGGCAATAGAGAAAAGTGCATGCAGCGTTACTTTCTCTAAAGGTCAAGAATAAACCGTGTGCATAGACGTTATACACTACTCATCATAAACGAGAGATTCATCTGGGTTCCAGGTGATTCTCTCAAAAAACAAATCGGTTAGCAAATGAGTGTATTTCGGTAAAGCATGTGCCTGTTTCGAAAACTCAGTCAGGAAATTTGAGGAAATAAAACAGACTATGGTTCACGTGTGAAAAAATAATTGTAATCGCTTTATATCACTAGTGAGGTGCTACCACACTGATAAAGATTCCAGCATCATCTTCACTCAATTGTCTGGTATATATAGACGTAAATGTTTTAAAAAGACAACCCTCACCGCAAAGTACCTCACCAAGGCAAACTGCAATTTCAGATAAGGAATTCTTTAGGCACCTGTTAATGTGCCTAGTTGGCCCCCCTCACGGATGGCGTAATGCACCCTTTCAAGCAAAGAAACTGGACGATCTAAGCTAGGTCTGTGAAATCCAAAATGTATCCGTGTTGTACATCCACCAGATATTTCGCAAACTTCCCCCTCAAAACCAGGCCGGCAAAGGCGTCGCCTACTACGTTCAGGCCGTTCAATGGTAATACATAACCGTAAGGTCCAATTTTGCCTTGCGTGAGCTCAGACGAACTGATTTCGGACAAACAGAAACTCCATAATAGTACGTAGCTGAGCTCAACCGCTTGAAAGTCAGTGAACTGATCAGATGTCACTCACCAAAGCTACCGTCTTCCCCAGGCGCCTACGATGAACCATGTGCTCATGGAAACACAGTTTTAGTTGAGGTTTCTAGACGCCCAACGATGTCCTATTCTTTTTCGTGATTTCAACACAAACTGAGCTTTTCACATTAGCTTTATCTTGTTATTCATATGATGAAATTTTTCTCTACAAGCCGGGAAAGTAATTCTTGAACGATGTGGTTTGGTGGTTCAAAGATGTGCGACCGATTAGAGGATCGGACGAGTCTGACTGACTAAAAAAATGCGACGATGCTGCCTCACTGTATCACGATCTACTCCAACCGGAAAATGTACTGTGTCAGTCGTTATATAAGTAAGTACCGTCAGGACGAGAATATTAAATTTTCCATACGTGCCCAAAATAAAGTCATGGTAGCTGCAAACGTTCAGCGTATTTTGAATGTGAACAGTGTTCAGGATCACCAATTAACGCACAGACGGTTCAGCTTTTAAAGTTTGTCACCCATGGACATCTTCCCCACAATGTTCCAAAGAAATCAAAAGCATCCCACAATTAATATCGAAGGTGTAGATAAGTTGACCTAGTGGCATTATAGGTATTTGGATGGGTACGAGATATTTTCACCCCACTTGAAGATGTAATCAGTTTGGCTGTGGTTGGTATATGAATTCTGGATAGTTTTCAATCTGTCTGGCATTTTTTCTCTACGCTGATTAGCTCGAGCTTGCGACCGAACTACTGATTAAGCCTGGGTATGAAAATCATGAGAACATTGTTTTGGCCCGTGTACAAGTTCGTTGATCCTTATGTATATGCGGATCAATACTAAGCGGTCCTACAACACTTCATTAAGCAAGAAACTCAAAACGTCAGTGTGGCCTGGGTACGAACACCGCCTAATTCCAAAAGAATATAAACCAGGAAATAAAACAAAACGTAACAAATATGACAAAACAAAGTATGTTTTCACTGCCTTTTAAATCCTTTGAAGTTCTGAATAGATTATGAGCTCAGAAAAATAATAGCCAGTTTTAAACCTTTCCAATGGAAACAGCTTAACACTTTCTCCAGTCATTCAACATGTGGTGATCATTATTGATTTTCTACTTTCTGCATGGTCCACTGCAAGGTCAGGTACAAGAAGGCGAACAGATTTGGTGTGCAACACGTGAATTGTTTCGGTTCCTTCTGACTACTCAGTTTGCACGAACAAGCTCAAAATAATAACGGAAATTTCTAGAACGTATTGACCCATTAAAGAGTGGCTTCTTTTCAAATGTGATTGGCACTTTGTTCAAGCATGCCTGAACTGTAAGTAAATACAGGCACGAGTGAACCTCATTCCACCTGCTTTTGTTCAACTCTCTTAAAGTCTGTATTGCGAGTATGAACAACTGGTTCTTTACTTCATACTAAATACTTTCGCTATAAACTACTGCCGTACCGTTACAAGGATGGACCTCAGTTTTGGACTGCTTTGAGTAAAACATTACGACTACCTGAAACAAATCTAAGTTGCTCTCATTGGTGTGCAACGAGAGTGAATATCTCTTCGAGACAATTCAGGTATGTACTTGAGTGCTTTTAATTTCCTACTGAGAATAGTTGAGATTTGTGGAATTCTGTCGAGGTATCTTAAAAAATGCCGGACGTCTGACCGCGAAAGCGGTGATCGAAGACCTTTAGAACCTGTTAGTTTATCAGCATTAACTGGGCCTAAAACTTATTCTTGTGCTTGAGGAAAGCTATTGACATGTCATATATACCAAAAACTGCATGGGAAAACAAATGCCTGGAAAGATAACAAAAAGACGAGGTTGCGAGTCAGTGGAATGCATCGTTCGCATTGAAGACTAACTTCTGGCGGAAGAATCCTACACTGACAAGCGCACAAAACTGACGCTTCGGTGCGACACCATCCCCACACGAATAGACCGGCACAGACCTTTTTTCTGTAATGGCTGACCTAGGTTGGAATGCTAGTTTCAGGTAAAAGGAATGTAAGTGGATCTGGAATGTTAAAAATCCTTTATTAAAAACACATGCCTTATTGGCTTTATCACAAAAGTAAGTTTCAGTTTTGTTGAGCAACAGTATTACTCTACAGTGCCTGATGGGTTACTGATATCAAAAAACTGGCAGATGAATTTGTTTTTTTTTCTCGTTTCACTTGTGGGAGCTTTTTGGATTCTCCGATATTCTCACGCCTCTCAGTCATGCAGTCAGTTATTGAACTTCTCGTTTCATTCAGGGAGCTTTTTGGATTCTCCGATATTCTCACGCCTCTCAGTCATGCAGTCAGTTATTGAACGAAACTTTCACTTTGGGCAAATTAAACAAAAGTGCTTGTTTTTAGCAAACTATACCTGTCCAGTCCGTTTGGAGATGGTGAACCATGTTTCTTAGATCAACTAATCCCATTATGGATGCCACTTGACAGCATTTTCTTTGAACAGTCGTCTATCACGTCTCCCTACTCCGATCTCTAATACCAGAACACCAGAAACTGACAGTTATCATCCATTCATGAAGGCATAATAGGAAATCTGGTGTTCAACTACTACCCGGTTAGCCTGATAGCAGTTGAACTTTTGCGAAGAGTTATTATAAGTAACACAATCAGAAACCGAAACAGTGCACCAATTTGTTTGCTGCATGGCATTGAGCAATCGAAAGCAGGTACTAAACACGGAACCTCAATTTCCTTCTTTATAAAATCACGTAGGAAAAAATTGAAGATCAAAGTTGAACTTTACCTCCAAATAGGTATTATCCTCTGCAAACCAGGTGACTGATAGTAAGTCTAGCACCACCATCCCATTCTCTACCGATATTTGTTGTCTAATGCAGCCTCCGACAAATTGATTAATCATCGTCCCAACCGAACTCGATTTGTTTATGGGCTGTAGCCCCAAAGGCTTTTGTTCAAAGCTCTCCTTCAATGCTTAACCTTTTGAAAAACTTGCCGAAGTGTTTTTCCTTGTTTACAGTGGATGAATGGTGAACGACCACAGCCTATGCCATTTTTTGTTGAAACTATCGTGCTGCGTCACGCGATATAGAAAAATAGCAGCATCTGTCCACAGTGCACTTCAAAACTCTAGTAAGTAGGCATTTCTGCGGCCGCTTGTTGGTTGAACCCCTGGTCTCACGAAGTAGAGTTTATATGGAGGATGCAAATGAGCGTAAGTTTTCTTCTAGGATTAACTCAATAGGTCGTATGAGAAGACTACACTAGCTCAGATCATTGCAGAAACCCAATATTTGTTCGTTCGATCACGCGATGAATATTTTATAGACTAATTGAACGCACGTATCGTCAAAATTAGTAAGTCTAAACAGAGGACGTAAATCAGACTGGACCAAGAGGTCAGGCACAAAAGACCAATCGAATAAACACTCTATCCTCAAAAGAGGACACAGAGCCGGAAAAGTTCTAGTGCATAATCAACCTGTTTTAGTGATCGCTGATAAGTGAACTTGAAGGACAGCAGTTTGCACCCTATTATACTTGATGATCTTCGTTCCTTGATATGAATTTTGGTTTGATCCGGCCATATCTGCAGATTGTAAAATTCCCTTTTAATAATACACCCTAAAAACGACATTCAACGAAGCTGAATAGATGTTTGCATTCCGGATAAACAGATATTTGTCGAAGACAAATTCGGATTGCTCGTAGTAGATAGCATAGTGATTCATGACCGGAGTTTTCAACCCCGGACGTACCTTCGGCATCATATCTCAAAATGTTTGACTAATAAATCATAGGTGAATATTCGTTTGACTGGCAGCTGGAACAAGTATTCCAACGAGCTTTCGTAGGGCTGGTTAATCACAAACCATGTTATTGGTTTGTCCGCTGAGCTTGGCACTTGGATTGCAAATGTCCCACCACCAGTCGATGTGACCTACGTCAATATGGGATTGAGTGGGTAAATTCGTCCTCCCAACCTTCTATCCATCCCCACACTTTCGATCTACCTATATTCTGCAATCACAATCTGTTTCCTCGGAAATGAGGGTTCTACTACTTGCCAATCGGTACTGATTTTTGGAAATAATTTCGGCTGAAAAACATCCAGTAACCTTATTGTAAGCCAGTTTGGTCAATACAATATCGGACGACTGATCAAGTGACAAGGATTTATTCACGTTATTTTATTACTGGCAATACAACTCACTCCTTGAGCAGTACGTCCGCACCGACTGCTTTAAGAGCATGTTTGTGATTCTCCTCGTCTGAATCCTGTCCGGATGACCCACTTATTTCAACGCCCCTGTCCTCTCTGTTTTTCGAGAAGAACTGACCTGGAAAACATGGTGTGGCTGATTTAGATCAATCAGAAAAATTTATTGCACAATAAACTTTAAGGTAGCTCACCTGATCGATTATATACCGAAAGCACAAGTGGACTATCCCTGGTTCTTCCAAAAAGTCAATATTTTCAGTCATCCCCAGTGGAGATTTGAAGTCATGATATGCCACTAGTGCTCGTTGGTCATCAATTTGCTCAGCTGATTCACGTGCAAAATATGAACATGAATAGACTATAGAGGTCGCCTTCCTAATAAACCTATCTCGTTTGAAGTACTACCTCGGGGACATTAGTGCCTCTCTGGCAATCCAAAATTGTCCACAAAGGACACTGAAGTGCGAGACAACCATCCTTTGACTGCATATGGAAAAAACTGACGAATTCAGTTCAGTTGAAGAAGTGAGGTTGTACCTAGGGAACGTAACGAACAATGGTCTCCTGATTGCAATTTCAAATCGCGCCTTTATTAAAGATGCGGTTGTATCAGAAATACTACCTGAATATGAGTTTAGTCTCCCGTCAAATAAATCCAAAATAAAAATGACGAACTTCTACATCTGTACGTTTGTGTCGCATCAAATGCCATGAATGTTTTCTACGTAAGGGAGCTGTTACCTCGCTTTGCTTATTGCAAAATAAACCTTACTGACAATACAGTAATAATCTTGGTGTCACCCTGCTGGCTGGTGGAATGTTTTCAACCAGACTACCCACTCCTGTTAACAAAGTGAAAACCGTTCATTAAGTCTGATTTACCACCAGTGCAGGAATTTCACGTTGGCAACGGCCGATAAGGATCGATCGCTATCTGGTTCACACAGTCACCGAAGAGCAATCACCAGTTATGCTGCTAGTTGTCTAAGGGCAACATGTTTAATCGACTGATCCAAATGACCAGTTCCCATCACCGGGTACTGGAATGCATCCGCCTCAAAGATGAGCCTCAGGACGGTAAGCTGCAAGTAAGGTCATCATTGGGCTAATTTGTATAAAAGTAACATCCTGACCTGTTCATGCACTAGAAGAAAACAAGCTTTTCCTCGACCACTTAACTCATGCAACCCAGTTTGTAATTCCATACGTGCTTAAAAACTGCAGCGACAACTAATCACAATTGTCCCAGGTGAAGAAACTGGGAGCAGGCAAATCATGCACACGTTAGGCACAAAAAAAAGAAGAGTGGCTTCTAAACCTTCTGCCTAACATAATTGACGTGGAGAATTCTCTTTCTTGGAAATGTGGATTTCGTCTGGTCAGCCAAATAGAAACATGTAATTTTAATCAACTTCTAAACCTCTGCCTAACATAATTGACGTGGAGAATTCTCTTTCTTGGAAATGTGGATTTCGTCTGGTCAGCCAAATAGAAACATGTAATTTTAATCAAGCACTACTCCTCAATTTTATCGAATAAACGGTTGGGCCCAAACCTGAATCGGCATGCAAAGTTAGTTCTATAAAATAGAGGTCCTAATACTACACCTTCATCCAACTTTTGTCTACAGAATAAGCCGTGTGAAAAGGATTTCTAACTAACCTCCAAAACAACGGTGCCAAAGCAACTGTCCAACTTTATGAAGCTCTTTTCTTAAACATTGGAGCGCTTCCGGCTAATCCACAGCAGTGAGTTATTTTTTTCGACCGAATGGAGCCTTGAGGGCTTCGATGACCTAACCTATGCAGAGTGAGGGAAACAGAGGTCACGCGAGAATGGAGCACAAACCTCACTTGCACTTCACTTCATAACCTTGTCTTGCACAGTATGTGCAGGCAGTGTCAGGGGAGCCACTGAGTAAGAGAAACAGGGAAAGTCCTGAAAGAGTTTGTGGACCGTCCAGATTGGTGAAACTTATGCTTCAGTCGTGCGAAACTAATGCAGTTCAAACTATGCCATGATCTGTTTTCCATTTAGCTGTGCGACCTTCATCGACAGTGCAAAGCAAGCCATCGATGTGAATAGTGTTTAGTCGATTAATTACTGCACTTGTCTGACTCGCTGAATGCTTAGGCTCCAAATAATTCCTTTTTTGCTGCCAAGATCTTCTTTGGGGCTGTGTTCACAAGCAGCAGGGAGAACTGTTAGGTGTGACACAGATGAACTCAACATTACTGAAGAATTTGGCAATGAGCTTGAACTAACCAGTCAAAGGTTTGCAGAAATTTCAAGAGATCTGCGAAGGAAGGCTTCTTTCTTGGCGAGCTGGGGCTTCAACTTAGCGTCTTCTAAACTGCATATACGGCTTTTTATCATTCCTGCCTGACTCAATAGGGAGAATCTAACGGAACGGAATGACCCAAAAAGCCAACTGGAGCCTGATAGTATTTCCACAAACGGTTAACTCTTGGGTGCACTCTTGCAGGAAAATGCACATTCCTCCTCCATTATTAATCGAGCTGTGTCTATTAGCATGCTATCACTAGGCGGCTGACTTGATCTTATTGTTTACACAACACCATTTCCCCGTTTGCAACCTCTTAACGGGAGATCAAAACTCATTGAAACTCGTTCACAACTTACATTTTATTGTTCAAGTAGGAAATAAGTGTCATGCAAACTTGAGAACCGAGCAGACTTGAAGAACCCCGATAATGGTGAAACTTGTCTTCGGCTGCTGAAAGGATTTTAGTAACTTTGAGACACCGTTGGGTCAACATATAGACGCACTCTACCGTTTACATACTTATTCTGATGGGTTTTGCTCGGGCGATCCACACGAATCAGATGGTGAACCTCTAAAGCGATGTGCTTTGTACTGGCTTCAGTATGAAGTCAACCTCTTTGGAGCGCACCTACATCGTTATATCAGTTTTCTGTGAACCTTAGGCCTTAACAGATGCGTGAACTTCTTTCAGTGAGTGAGCTTCGCATTCAACATTCACATGGTTTGAAGTCTGTGTATGTGTATCCCACAATATCTGAGAGAAGCCTAATTCTATTCGTTTTCAGCGCTAAACAAAGCTCGTTATCACTGTGGTACGACAATGAAAAAATTCGTATTATCGACAATAGGCTGTAAAAGTAGCTTTTAGGCAGAATGAATTGAAAGTGAGACAATCCAAGAATGTTTCAGAGAGCCGTTGTGAATTCGTAAGTTGTAACCATAAGGCGAGCTTCGGGGGCTTCTTCAAAGAAGGCTGTATGGAGATTTGCTCAACAGTCTTCCTCGCCATGATAAGATCTAGCTTTCTAGACATTTCATGATGAGTAAGTTAAGAATGACCACTTTAAGGATCCTCAAAGCCCCCTTTCGCTAAAATTAAGCGACTGCTATTTGGCATCCCTACAGCTTATATTGCTGCACTTTCTACAACATTTGTCACTGAAATTTTCCTGCCATTAATAATCTACGTCATCGATTTTGTTGCTGCACTGCTTTTCCCACAAATTGTTTCTAAACCGACTGGCAAATCTCCGTCAGCTGTATCGCGAGTGGGCTCAAATCGTACGCTTCGACTTCCAAAAATCGATTGAAATTGAAGTTAACCTATTCTCTTACAAAAATCTCCCTGGATGCTGTCTTGCATTACGCAAACCGAAATCTGGCTGACAAAAAGTTTGTATTGTCTACTACAAGATAAGCGGATCACCTCGAACTATCCTCTCTCCACACATGGTCCGCAGCGTCGAACGTTGCTACAAAGTGAATTTCTTGTTTTTTGCTACATTCCATCTTTGATATTGCATCTACATCCACACCACTCTCACTTGATTAGTCCACAAACATTTCATCGAATAAAGCAGACACAGAGCCATTGAATTGAAGCTGAGTGGGTGAATGATTAAGAAATTAGGACCCATGAAACACCAAGCATCTTTCTACTGCTGTTATCTTCACGGTGCGCACATGGTGGCCCAATAATATTACGATCTGGTCTTAGGACGAGTTATCTAATCTTTTGTCAACCTATTAGCGTCCAATATCAGACACTCGGTGATCACTTGTTCTGTGGGTGGACAGAGTTCACCGAAACTGTGGTTGCTCACTCGGTGATGGTATAGATTGAAAGAGTTGAGTCGACATCTGCTTCGTTTTGAGTGCAGCTCACTGACAGTATCCAGTTGGCTAACCAGATCAGTCGACATCGGAGACCTAGGTCTTCGTGAATGAGTGAAACCCGTAGTAGACCCGTTGTTGTCATTGTTTGTGTTAGCTGAAAGACGCGTGTCAAAGCCCCAGCAAGTGAAAGTTGCCCTGTTCGATCGCTTTAACTGACCGGGATAATTCGTGATAGGCGAGATTTGTGTAGGCTCAGTTTACTCCATTATCTACTCCCTTTGCGTTTTTTTCTGCAGCTTCTGTATTTACGGTTACTGGATCCCTTGGAAAGCAATTTTTGAAGATTCAGTGAAATGACACCAAGCATAACGCATAGTTACGACATTGGGTTGGTTCATCGGATAAAAGACAAGGCACGCACATAGCCCGTGTTCGATAGGCTAAGATAGCGTGGCTGGCTGAAAAATCGTTTCATAATTCAGGTGACCAAATTCAGGTGACATAAAGACTAGAGCGGAACCCAAGTCCAAGAACTGGGACAACCAACAAACTGGATGCAGATCATACAACGGAAGCAAATGAGAGTAAGGCTAACAAAAGCTTGATAAATTCCAAAACCAGGTGGGCCATTGATGTAGCCTGCTTGATTTCCATGACATCGAATCATTTATCGGTACAGTTAGGTCTGTGGACAGATGCTCAAGGCGATTTAATATTATTGAACTTGAGTTCAGTTAACCTGGCGATATTTTTCTGGATGAAGGAGATCAAGAGAGTTCTGAGATGGGTTGATTTCACCAACATTCAACTGTATGGATGACGCATCCGTGATCATAACAAATCACGGACCCACCCGTCTTGTATTGGATGAAATTCCGCCAGGCGTGGACAAGCAACGTCGAGCGTAACTGTTTCCACCAAGTGATTTTCTTTCTTGGTCCAGCCACCGCCTGTAGAGGGGGAAATCTTAGAAAAATGCCGGAACAGATGGTACTAGTGACCTTCATGGTCGAACATATTTCATCGAGAGGGATCTTTGGAGGAGCCTGCTACCTCAACTTAACTGTACTTGGTGAGCTCCTCTGATTTGGATGGCTCTCCTTATGCTTCGTGGTTTTAGTAGTTCTGCGTATTCCCAATTTGTACCGCTTCGTTGTTTGATTTTCCTCGGCTTGTTTGCTTACACAAGGTCAATAAAAAATTGATAACCGAGAATATCCATTTAAACGCATTGAAAAAACCGGCATGACCAATCCTACAAAACACACTGAAGGCCAAAAAAATCGTTGAACTAGCTACAGAAGCCTTACGACAGAATGATACAACGGTAGCCTAAAAACCTGTGGAATCTAAGAAGGACTTTGTAGAAAAGAAAGGACAATTGGGGAAAACGGGAAAATTGGCGGGGAACAATACCATGTGCATTATTCAACGCAATGACTTTACTAACACTACATTAGGGCAGACATGAAGGAGGCATTTCACCGGACGTCAGGATACAAGCTTACTCTCGAAAATGGTTATCAATAATCGATTGCCCTCGTACACGAAGAACGGGATGGACACAAGTCTGACTGGAATGAAGTTCGCATACGAACGCAAGCAGGACCTAAGAAGGAACTTGGTACATGGTACTCCACCAAGGACGCCGTCGACAAATATAATGAATCTGATACAGTCAACAAGCTGCAGAGGAGACAAGAACTCGAGAACTGAGAAGCTTAAAAATGGACAAGAAATCATAGGATAAAGTTGTATGGAAACGGGGCACTTCAAAACTAGGGACCGAAATATTTATCTGGAATAGATTCCAAGGAAGTCAGGCCCCAACTTAACCCAGCTTAAAGGCTGATAAGACATAACCGCGATGAATTAAGCTGTTCAACGAAGCAATCGAATGAAAATTTGCGGAATTTTTTCCTGTACATTGTGGTCTGTTGAGGCGAACAGCAACCTGTCTAGTAAGTTTTCAAAATTCTGAAGTTTTAAGACCCAGTCACCTGATACATTCTGCAGTGGTATGTAAATTAAACCTGTTGCCCACGTAAAGTCTACATGAATTTAGGAAGATTAGCACGTTTGTTCTGTGTTTTAGGAACATCGAACGAATAATTCGTAGCACTCCTCTAGTCCGGGTACCTCTTCTAAACACTGGTTTGTCACTGTTTCTGTAGGCTTTGGTAAACAAGCTTTATTAAAACACTTCGATTCTGATATAAAATCTTCGTCCGAGAGGAATTGCCGGGGTGAGCTCTTAGACGGATGGAGAACCATTCTGCGTAACTCCTTACAATTGGCCGACTTAATCACAGCTGAACCTTACTCCAAAGTTCTTGCTTATTAAGTAGTGTGGATGACTAAAACGACAAACGGTCTGAGCGAATGTTCGTACAGTCGAGTCAAGACTTTGGGGCGTCAGTCTTCCGGTTCAGGACACCACTGTGATATTCCTCTTGGGTTTCATTCACAGATTTTATTGGTCTGTGCATTGGGGGTTTCTGGAACAAGTGAACTGAGGTTGGGGAGGTAAGTTGGGTTTGTACTTCGGATTCAGACCATTTCACTGATAACCACAAGCCGCTACGTATCACATCAGTTTATCAAAAGCTGCTCTTCACACACACACCCTTTCAACTCCCTCCGTTTTATTCACGCTTGACAAGTTTCACAAACTCAAAAATTCCATTTTACAAACTTATTCTACGTGATACATACACTTTGTTGCTAATTTTTCAATTACCACCTGAGATGCATCTATATATTCTACTCGCTTGTCCATGCTCTGTACACAGTACATGGGATGACTGCTGTTCCCACTCATTCATTCGTGGGTCATGATGTTGTGGCCAGATTTAATTCAGAAAACGCCCTAACCAATCCTCCCGATTAGTTGATTATCCATGCATTTGCCAGACTTGTTCGCATCGCTTCACCCTCTGACCCTGTTTGCTCCCGGGGCTGTTTGAGCGGTTTAGTTAACGGGTTGAGAGTTTGAGGAATAAGCGTATTCAACCACCGAAACCGGTGATGATGTGATCAAAGCTGGCTAGTAGACCGTTGCACCAAAGACGCCGTGATGGTTGAAGAATGCTGCCCTCTAAAACTAACTGATTCTAATTCACCACTCATAAGGTTGCTGAAAAGTCTTCGACAGCTTACGAACGGTTTCGCCCTTCTTGGGGCTCATCAGATAGCCACATTCCCCGAGTTTCCATGAACATTATGTTCTACTTGAAACCAAATTGCACAAAATTAGCGAAATACATTCCTTTGCAAACAAAATTGGTTTTGTGAGAGACTCACCTGGAACCCAGCTGAATCTCTCGCAAAACAAAATTTGTTTGCAAATGAGTGTATTTCGCTAACCGATTCTACTTTGGAAAAATTACTTGACATCCTGGCAGATAGGTTTTAGTGAGTGAGATTAGAAGGCTTTCTGGATTGTAAGTTAGACACATTTCTGATGAATGTTTGCGTGCAGCCGCTAAACGATTAACAAGTCCCTATCATATTCCATTCATATTCCATTTCCAAAAAGGAAAACCATCCCGGGGATTTTATGTAGCGTTTCGCCGCCGGGGGTATGGTTAACAGAGAGTGGTTTTGTGGAATGAACAAATAAACTCGCTCTGACAAAAGTGAAATTTGTTAGGAACGTACGAACACCAATTCGGCTATAGTGGGAGCGTTTTCCGAAGAAATCATAGTAAACATCGAAACTGCCAATCAATTCATCTGCAGCAGTGCTCCGTTCTTTGGATGCAGTAATCGTAAAACGTGCTTATTTCGAGGAATACTTGGCATCAGTTTTCAAACTAAAAATCTTATTTCTTTCAACACGAATTATATCGGTGCCCTATCACTTCTGTTTTTAGAAGTGTTGGTGTTGGAAACAAAAACCACCTTGTTGTGAATATGGTGGGAAGTTTTTTGGCCTGTTTTATGTGGTTCAACTGAACTCAGCAAAACAAAGTTAGTATGAATTCAATTACTTTATCTAGTTCTGGCAGTTGGTTGACTTCCAAGTCAGGTTACATGACTTAGTCACACTCGCTCATTTGGATACGACTGAAACGAGTGTGTCGGGAGCGTGGCAGTTCAAGTGTGAATGTAAATCATGACTTGTCGTTCTGAAGTAGTACAGACGCGGATGTTCTTATTAGTCACCGGTTGATTCTGGTCGAAACTGACTGCAGCCTCGAGGTTGTGTAGCATATTGTTCGCTTAACGGTCATTTTGCTGTGGTGTACTCAGACCAAAGTGAAAATTTCAGGAAGAAAACAAGCGATTCTTTGTGCTATTTGCACCCGCCAAGTTGCTGTTCCGCACTACCGGAACTCATTTAGCTCGTACTTTGGCATAGCGATTATGCTTTAAAAGCTTTCTACCTGCAGTAAAATATGAGTACGAAAACGCATTTCAAAACCAACCTCTTTACTAATGAAGACATAAATGCATTGTTATGTCAAGCGTACCACTCACCAAAGCCTTTCAGAAACACCTCAGATGTCACACATCCCTCATTGTTCTCGTCAAGGACATCGAATATAGCATCCAGCTGGTCGTCTTCCAAGGGTAGGTGTTCCTTCACTCTATCGAAATCTTGTCGTGTTATGAAGCCCCGGTCATCTGGGTCACACAATGAGAACAGTATTCGGGCTTCTCCAATGACGGAAGGATCACTTTCCATGTCCTGGCAACATAGTACGAAGTAGATCTTTCTGGCTGATAGTAGAACATACGGGTATAATCAATCAACTTTAATTAGGTTTGGTCGATATTGTGTCGTGGCAATTGATAGGAAGACATAAATCCATTGGTTGCCAAGCTTGTGTAGTTGCGTGTGCGTCCCCGTCCAGTTACTACACACAAAAATTATTGAACTGATGTGAGTGAATTAAAAAGACGTACTTAATAGATTAACTCTAGGATTATTCGGACATTAAGTAGGTAAAAGGATCATAATGGCCGACTGTCATCAGCTAAAAATAAGGTCAATGATAGTAATCCTAGACTGTTTTTCTGGGTTTCGGTAAGCATAATCATGTGGAGTTAAGATTTGTTCTACATTTATCACCTTCAGTTGTGGAAATAAACCTATGTATTCGACAGCGCAGTGATAAAACTGAGAAGGCAAACACACTACAAAACGGGAGGATTTGTCTCTGTGGTAATGCTCAGGTGGGCAGATCGTGAGCCACTAAATTCTGTGCACACACCATAGGTTGTCTCACCTTGATTCTCCACTGAATTTGAGCATTCCACAGGGTCAGATGCGTGCCAGAATAGTGAGTAGCTGAATAGAGATCAGCTGAAAGGAATGTAGCCACGACGAAACTACATTTTGGATAATCGAATGTTATCTGCGAGACCGTGATCAAAGACTTCAGAATACTTGATCATCATCTTAGGGTAACATTCAGGTGTTCCTGACAGACGACCTATGTGACGATGCAATCCGTACATCGCAAATTATTGGGGAAATATCGCACAAACTAAGCATTCGTAATTATGCACTACGTGAAGTGAGTGGACGTATGGCCTCATTCACGGAACTCTTGAGCTCCAACGAGAAAATCCGAATCCTAATCTGGGGAAGCTTCTCTGATGGAATCTCAGTGAGCAACACAACGATATCCTCCACTGATATTGAATCTGTTTCGTCGGGTGTGCTAATCTTACGTGCGACTATATGAAAAGCCATAGTATCCCACTGTGGATCGCAAGCGCTTTATATAAGGGGTTTATTTTCAATGTTAATGGGAATCATCTTTGTGATGGTCTTGCAAACGGATGGATTCATGGCTCCATGACCGCAATTTCGCAGACATTTTTTCTAACGTCAGACAGCATTTTAAGTTCACACTTACAAGCGTCGGGCTGACAGGTCTCTACTTTTCACGTCCGAACAAAAGTTCATTTATTTTTGTTTTCCAAAACACAGCCGCCCCGTAATTTCTCTGATTCCTACAAGGAAGTTTCAAACAACAGTTTGGCGACCATAACTTGCAAGTTGTCAGATGACTGTTGGTCAATTTGCCGAGCTTGGTAATTGGATTGCAAACGTCACCATTCGAAGACATCATCAGCGCGCAGTTTCGGGGCGGTTACTACATTTCTACCTGCGTTCATATGATTTATAAAAAGTAGTCAACTTATGCAGAGTGACTGGTTTTATGGGATCATCTTGCTATTAACTTGTTTTATCTTATCTGGATTTGCGTCATGATAGATTTGGATTATCTTGCATCTGGTTAGTTCACTGAGTGGCTCTATGTTCCTTTGTTCCAATAGACCCATTCTGCTTTCCTCATGCGTTGCGTTTCAACCAATCCTCATTTCATTAGTCGACTGGACACCCATTTCTTACAATTGATTTCTACGAGCTGACTGATCCACTGGCCATTTGTGTTTCATTGTGGTACTTGATCGGTTCATTAGGTACCGTTCTCTTCGACGCGATTTGGGTCTTCTGACTGCTGATTCGTCTTCGTCTTTGATGTGCATTCCAGTAGTTATGATATTTAACCCAAAGTTTTATGTCTTGTTGGTGGCATATAAGGCTTCTTTGCTGGTTTGGGCTTGACCTGTTCCTGAGAGGTTAGTCGATTGGATCGGATATAATGTGCCTACTGATGCCTTTCTCCGCTGAGAAACATGCCTTCATCAATTCGTGTTCTCCATTTGTTTTGCTTAGGCTAGTATATGGATATCGTTCAATTTGAAACTAGTTGAGTGAGTACAAGCAACAAGGCGAATAATTCCGTGAGTGCTTTACATGATGCCTACAGATGGTAATGTCTACAGATGTCCACAGAGTTAACTACGTCCAGTGAGTGTAAGAAAAGGGTACACTGACTCACCTTCCCTCTTCAAATTTTTTACTGTGGTGCTACCTGAAATTACTCTGCCCGTCTCTGAAAGCTCGGGAGCCGAAATTCTCCAGAGCAATTCGCTCACAGACATTGGGTATGCGAACGATATTGCTCTCCTTGGTTCAGATCCCTCAAAAGTGCAAACCACTCTAAGTAAGGTAAATAGCTCTGCAGCACCGTTTGACATGCGCTTCACACCTGTAAGGCGTAAAGTGCTTTTACGGGGCTGAGTGTCATCAAACGCAAACTTCATGCCAAACTTCATGTCAAGATAAATTTGTTTACATGGGCAGCTATATAGGTTCCGGTGGACTGGCTGAAAATGAGATTACTTCTCGAATCAACAAGGCTGGGGGCAGCTTTTACCAACATCGGACACATATGGCACCGACGTGACGTCAATTTGTCTGTCAAAGACAAAGTTTGCACTGCAGCAGTGCGATACATACTGCTTCATTGTTCAGATACTTGGTCTTTACGCGCAGAGGACATACGGACGATTCTAGTGTATGACCATCGGTGTCTCCGAAGCATTGGTTGGGACTGGTGAGAAGATCGGATTAGTGATGCTCAGGTACGCCAAGTGGTCCTAGAAAGAAGGAACGCTTGCAGGATAAATGACTTGCTCACGCCTCATCGGTCATGCTGCTTAGGACATGTAATTCGCCTGCCTCGCAGAGCTGTTTTCTGTCGGGCCTGTGCTGAGTGGAAGAGACCGCGCAGTGGAAAGTGTATGACCTGGCAACGCAGTATAATCAGTAAATCGAGCCGGGTCGACAAATGCCACCTTCCTTTACTCAGCTCGCTGGTAGGACTTGTCCAATCATGCAGTCATTGGCACTCGTTCACCAGAGCTATCACTGTCAATGCCTAGCTACCCCGTTCTCGAACAAACTGAACATGTTGTCACTTCCAAGACATGGCTGTATTTCACACACTCTCCAACTTTCCGATGATGAAAACTGAAGCAGCTGGAACGAAATTCCTAATGGTACCTGGTTTATCGCTGATAAATTGAACTGAATTGAGGCGAACCATGAGACTCTGAAGAGAGTGATGACCAGTTCCCATAGACTCATGGATTTTGCAAGCAAACGCCTGGCGGACATTTGAGATATCTACTTCACTGAGCCATAGATTTGTTGTTCGCGCTTCCAGATAACGCCTAACATACGATTAAGAACTAGATTCCTGAAGCAGCTTGTTTACTAGTGAGACCAAGCGCTTCTCTGATCCTTGCAGATCATCACTTAATAGGAAAACTAAGTTTTCAGCGAATAAACTGTCAACGTTTATGAAGAATAACCATGTACAACGGCTCATCGCCAGCGTGAAAGTTAGTCCAGGAACAGGACACGGTTGAAATATATTACAGCGCAACGACCACAAAGAATCGTTCAGCTGTAGCCTAACTGCCATGCCACCAGAAGGAAGCACGAGGACTGGGTTACTACCATGTTTCCCAAGCCTAGATAGAGGAAGTTGAGAAGCAGAGGTCGGATTCGAACCACGAACCTTCTGGTCAGTGAATTTGCGGTCTAACCTCTGATCCATCTCTACCAGCAACCAGTAGTTCGTACAAGAGAACTGAATTCGTTTGTTACCAAACCCTATTGCCGAAACGACGCATTGAAAAGGAGATGGTTTCAAATAAGAATCTAACTTGTAAGACACACACGCGTTCTACAACGAAGGATATATTTCAACAAATGTGTCTAGAAAATTAAAAGTATGCCCAATCAGTTGAAAAACACTTGGAACCGATTGAGTAGTCATTGTTTTCGGAGAAGTTTGGTAACAATCGATAGATTTATAGCTGGACATTTCGCTTTTGACACAAAGCCTTCGTCAGGCCAAATGACTAGGTTACGAGGTTGGTCGAGATTTAAGGCGGAAGGAGAACCAATCAGCTAAGTTAAGCTACATTGCTGTTAGGTGTCGGCCGAGGGATTTTGTGTGTTAGGCTGGGTAACCAGGTGCTAGGCCGATGGGGAAACCTACTTGGATTTGGGCCCAGCCTAGGGTACAGTTCTTCCGGTTCGGTTCACCTGAAGATCGCCCTTGAACTAGTGCTACGATAGTTGCGTAAGGAAGAGGGATTTTTTAAATTATGGTCGGGTTGGGATTTTCACTCCCTGATTTGCTAACGATTCTAAGTGCGTTGACACCGACGCACAGTCAAGTGTTAACTCCGCTTATCTTAGACCGCTTTTCATACGATCGCCAGTTCCACACCCTCAATTCTGTCCACGCTGTGATGCTTGATGATTTCCACCGCCTCGGCTATCAGCCGCTGTGGTGTGAATCGCAGTCTCCGTCTGAAAACTTCCGCGTTATCCAGATCTATTCTATGTTCCGTGTCTAAGGCATGCACCCCATCTCTGAGCCTTTGACTAACATTTGGTATTCATCCGCATTCCTTGTTGGTTTGTTCATTCTCCTTTTATCCTCATCAATTCTAGTGTGCTATTCCCTGGCAGTTTGTCCCATGTAAATCTTAGTGCAATCGTAGCAGTTAATTTTATACACACAGGAGGAGATATTTCAATTTCACCAAGACTGAGCGAAGCTTCCCCTTCTGGGAAGCTACTCGAATGTTGGCTGAGTTTAACAGTCTTTGAATAACCTCCGATGTTCTTGCTTTATATGGAATGACTGCTGTGCCAATCTATACCTTAGGCGGTCTGGATACCAAAGCCAATATCCTTCTTAATTACCGCATAATCAAACTCGCTGGGTATCCAATTTCTTGAAGTCCGTTGGCAGTCTTGATTTGAGCTGCTCTTCGGTCGATCTCTTCTGTGCACAACGCTCTGGCTCGGCTCAACATCGATGAGACACTACTGGCGTACACAGACTTTGGGTGTGTTGATGTGTAGTTTAAGATGGTTCCTGTGTCTGTTGGTTTCTGGCAGATAGTAGTTTTTAATTTTCCATCACTCTCATGTGTTATACAGTCCAGGAAGGGTAATGTCACCGAGATGGAGTCTATCTGTATGCTAAACTCGATGTGTGGGTTTAAACTACTGAGATAGTCGTGGAAGCTGTTCACGGTATCTCATTTGATTACGACAAGCGTGCCGTCAATATTACGCCAAAAAACTTCGGTGGACAATAATATCCAGCCAAGGCCATTTGTTCGAATTCTTCCATATAAATATTAGCGAAAACTGGGGATATTGGAGATCTCATTGCAAGACCTTGTTCTTGTGAGTAAACAGTTGCGTCAAAAACAAACCTTACGTAAGCTTCACTTATGTGTACTTGGTGTTGAGCATCTGGAAGTCGGCGGGTGAGATCGCGGTCTGAGGATCAGGGAGATGTCCCTTGGTTCCAAATATAATTCACAGTTCAAGTGGACTCCTCACTTCAAGATCCATCAGATCCTCTTTACACTACCTCACAACGCACACTCACTGACTGGTTTCATAAATAGAAACTTCCCCTAAAGCTGAAACTTGGGGACAGCAGACGGGTAATATAAAACCTATATGGTTCAGTCCACTTCCCCCCAAATTCGCACTACTTATTAGTAGCCATGTGGCACAGGAATTAGTGCGCATTTGCCCCAGCTGTGGCTCCCGCACACCACTTCGCTTGTGCGAACAGTGCAGCTCACTAACTCGTAAATAACTCGAAGAGTGATAACATTCTACAAAATCTTACTGAGGAGTTCCCAGTGCAAATTCAAGCGGCTCAGATGTTACGATCTTGAATATTTCCTTCAACACATTCGAGAAAAACCTATCTCATGAATCAACCACTTTCCGTGGGTGAGCATTACTTGGGAGTTACGAGTCCGTTAACTTCACACTGGTGGACTGTCATGGTCAACAGACAGACATGGGTCTCTTCGTACAGGTCATCAGCCGTACACACATTGATCCGGGCAGCGGTCCAAAATATAGTAATCTTTTCCAGGAATCCAAATGTATTAAAATGCAACAACGGAGAATATGTAGTTCGAGTGGCTTTCGCGCATTCGACTGACTGTGTTGGCAAACACACTTCTGTCATGACATTCAGTTTCAATGGTCATGCTCAAGGATACTAGCCTACAGTACGAAGCAAGGTGGGTAGCGCATCTTTTGTGACAAACGCTGGTCTATATGGTAACTGGGTGTTGACCGTAGACTCATAAAACTCACCTGGATTTTCGTCTGTGATATTCTTCAACCGAATTTGTTGTAAACAAATTTTAAGACATTATGAATTGGATGCCACTTTATTTTGGACCGTCAAGTAAACAGGTGGTGCGCGATCGGAGGACATATGAAAATTGTTTGTAACTTAACTGTAGCTTTCGCGGTTATCTGGAGTGAGACATGTGATTCACAACCTCACCATGCGGAAGGAACGAATAGCTGAGGATGGAACACAGAAGGCGATAACAGTTAACTCGCAGATCAGCACCTATGACAGATATAAAAGTTCCTTGGGTTACCAACGATCTTATTAAAATTCACAAAACACGCAGGAACTACAAACTGAAGTAGATTTTAAACCACAACCAGGTAGCTGGGTCGCACTTTGCACCGATAAGTGAGACTGATACTATTCATCTCTCAAACCATTCAGTATAAGTTCGCATCAACTAATTGGTAACTGGAAATATTCCGTTGACTGTGACTATTAGAACTAACACATGACTCATCCGTTACTGCTTGGCAAAGACTAATCGCACCATCAACGTGACCACACACCAGTATATTCACATGAACTACTACTAGGTTGAGACGCCAAATAAGCCATTGGTTACGACCAATTCACAAAGTCAGCCAAATGAATCACAACAGCAATAACTGACACTAGAAAAATTCAGTTGATCTGGAGACAGAAAATTCAGTGAATTGAGAAGAATCGGCTTCCTCGAGGCCAAACAACCAACATCATTGACTTATTGCCTTGAACTTTCCGTTTAGCGAATTCACGATCGACGAGACGCTGATGATAAAACCGATGGATGGCAGCGAGCTAACTCTGGATGATTGTACTCTGGAGATCCGATGAGGTCAACAGACTCAGCAGGTTAGGTAACAAAATGCAGTCAATAGGGAAAGTAGAGGGTATGTTTGACGGTTGAGACTCCTGGAGGAATACGCATCCTAATATGTACTCCATCTGGAGGAACTCAGTGACACCTACGTCCATTACTGGGAGTTTAACAAGTAGACGCAATAGTTGGCCAACTTTCCATTCATCAAAACACCCATCTTGAGCGAAATGTTTCTCACACGGCACTACACACGAGACCAACGGGACTTCTGGGCATATTTCTGTAGGAACGATATTCAAAATACCACAGTCTCCCGTACATAATACCACTCATGGGGTTCGAGAATATAGATTAAACTGGATTTCACATAAGTCTCCTCTATTAAAACTGACGTAATTAGCAAGTGTTTGTATACCAAAAGATTTGTCATTTCGCATCCAAAGAGGCTGACATTTCGCATAGAAATGGAAAACCTTCAATTGGAACCAACTTACACGTCTTCATGCCTAATCATACGAGAAAAGCTTATTACGGAATGTCGAAGTTCAGAAAGGATACTAAAGTACGTCCACACGGCAGTTTACCCATTGAAGAGATAAGTTAAAAGGGCAACATGCGCCAACTTCAACGTTATCCCCAAAGTGGATCACTTTCCTTTGCGAAAAAACTAGCCCAATTTTTTTCAAGCTCGAATTCCATCCTGGCTAGACTGCTTTTGCGTGACTATGAAAAATGATGCCCAGCTGATTAGCCACCGGTGATTTCTCGTTTCTCATGCCTAAGACACCTACGATGAAACTGAACCGGTTTGTCTGTGTTTTGAATATCTCCGATTAAACGCGTTATGAGGGCCTTCTTATCAAACTGCCCTTGAACGATCCTAACACTTTGACCAGCTGAGCCGAAATGTTTCACCCCACAATACTTGAATTCCGCCCTATCTTACACTCACTTTCTACTGTTTACACACGATCAACTTCCAGTTTTTTTCATTGTTTCATCCATGCATTTATAAAAGATGATATTCCCCAAAAGTCTAGTTCGTACCAGTACGAACGATCTGCTTCATCTCAGTTGAATAACGACCGCGTAGTGGTCACCTGCACACCGAATATGGACCTTATTGTTTTTCGCAGTTGGGGCTCATCAGATGAAGCACCTTCCATCCATAGCCGGATTCTCTCCACGGACTTTGAGAACCACAGTCTCCAGCTTATCCTCTCGCTGACTACTCTATGGTCGTGGGCTATCATGCTTCAATCTACTATGTCAGTTAGGGAAGACTTAGCCTGCGAACCCAAGCGGAATACAAAGCCTGAAGAGCACTGACACCAATCAAGGTCGCTATCGTTTTATGTGCTCAGTCGCGAGCAAGTAAGTGCGTGAGGACGGTATTCCGGAAACCAAACGCGACTAGGATTCGAGTAAAATTAATAGAGGATTTAACTGACCTTTAATACAGACCCAACACAAACGAAAAGGCAGAGTCCCTGGGCGCAACATGGGCCATTAATCCACCCAAAAGCATCTTCGCCTATGAGAAACGACGCCAATCCAATCCGAAGGGACTCAAAGCACACCCGATTCCAGCAAACAAAATACTCAGGGCTGACCAACAGAATCAAAGAAAACCTCGTTCATATTCCATCCGAAATACACAGAATGACAGTCACTAGAGATAATCGAAAGAATAGAGCGCGAAAGAGCAGAAAATCAGACTGAGTTTAAATAACGGAGAGGGTGTGTGATAACGAGCTGTAGTGGTAAACAGCGGTCCATTCTAAGCTCACCTCGGGCAATAACCCCGTGGGGCTATAACATCTCAACAACAATAGTATTCAGCACTTTGGTAAGCGGTGTAAAGTTGATGTGGGTTGCTGAGAGGAGGCGATCAAATGAAATAAGACATTGGGTAAAGGGAACGTTGGATGGGAAGAAAATAAATGACGTTAGAAAAAGTACGGCGAGAAAGCTACTGATGAAATTCAGAACATCACAAGCCCCAAACATATAGGTGGACTCGAGAAAGGCCTATCGAAATGGAAATTCAAACTGACACGTTCTCACAATAACGGACTGTAAATGGAGCTTGAAGGGGATTTGTGCAACGTAAGGCCAAGGCACGCAAGCTGACTCAAATAGGTCAAACAACGTTTGAAAGGAGGATCGGATGAGATAAGATGCACGGTATTAATTACAGCATCCGTTTCGTACAGTTCGGCGAAAAGGCGGCAAATGTGGAACTACAAAAAGCAAGCTGAAATTCAACTTCTCATTAAATTTTGAACCATCTGGAGAAACTCGTGATATGAGGGGGCGAATTCCGTTCTATCCTCTATGAGAGCAGAAAGAAAGCGGGTCCGAAGATTCGCTGGGGCGTCATGTCGCATGCAAACAAGTGCATTGTTGGTCGGACGTTGTCTCCGTATTAGACTGATGAGAGTTAGTAAACGACGTCTGGCAACGGGCATATCATCACTATGAGGATTTGAAGTCTTTCCTGTATTGCTAGGTAACGGTGGTAAATTAAATGGCCCACCACATGCTGGTAAATCAGTTGGTTTCGAAATACCAAGGAGTTGTTGCAACATTTCCGATGAGCTGACGCCATCGACACTCGATTCATCACCAGAACCAACAAGAAGGTAGAGCATTTCGCCCGTATCCAACAAAAATACGCCAGCACGAGATACACATCGAGCGGACAAGTGTAACTGACCAGGAAGTTGTTCAGCATCGAAACCAATATCGGTAGAGACCGAAGAAGCGGAGGAATCACCATCTTCGGAATGTTGATCGGCATCTACCCGGGCATCACCATAGTCGGACAAACGTAGCGCAGCAGCCTTCTGGGCCAATGTAAGCGTCGTGGATCCGATCGGTTTGGAAACAAACTGATGAACCGCATATAGGCGAGGGTAGATTAACGTAAGCATGTCATCTGGGGCAGCCGTTTTCAAACGTTCTAAAGCGGCTGATCTGTCGTCGATACGAACGGGTACACCAACACGTAAGGCCAGGTAACGCAGAAGACCACATATATACAGAGCCAAAAGCCGCAGATTAGGGGGGCATGCTATAGCGTAGGAAGAAATACTTGTCGTAGCAGTGATGCCTATAGCAGACGCATATGCAGACAGCGCATCTGCAACAGAAGTTGCAACCGCTTCCCTGGCATTAGAGATACCTGAGTTGATAGCACGGTCCACCGCCATTTTGCCAATAAGACAAGCTATGGCACCTTGGTCTGCACCTTGAAAGACTTCTGACGCGTTGTGGACAACCGGCAGACACAATGTATGTACGCGAATTCGACGATCACCTTGAGAAGATGTGTAAAGTATGGCGGTCTGTAAGGACAAAAGAGGAACGACAATTAGCATGTTCGTGAGGAAAGGGGAATCGTCTAAAGTGAGGACGGAGGTTATACGTATGCAACAATCGATAGGAACGTAGCTGGAGATTTGGTACAGAGCAAAAAAGGCTGGTAATAGACGACACCGGCAAATTGGAATGTGTTGCTAACAAAAAAGGTGTTTTGTCCTACTGATGGCTCGTTGGTTGTAGCTCGCAAATAAACGATATCGGAGGAGCTGGAAGGTGTGGATGACTGGTTAGTTATCGCCCAACATATGTTCTACCTGAGTCATTTCGTCACCCGTGAGGCGGTAATTAGTGGAACTTGGTTGAAGTAGATTTTTTGCGTACTGAGGGCTTATCTATTTCTTATCCCGCCAAATGGACAGAATGAGGGGACAATCAGAATAATTTGAGCAAAGTTCAACAGTTCAACCGCTAAAGCATGCGACGCAGATGGATCTATCCAAAAACGTGAGAAATGTTCGCACTCTGGTAATTCTCAAACAAATGAGTTAATCTGACATCAAAGCTTTGACTCGGTAGGGGCAACTGATGGGAACACACTCTACATCATCTTCACTGACCAACGAACTGTGCCCGCTGGAAACGTTTATGGGAACAGATGGGATTGTTCAACACGAAAGAGTGCTCCAGATATTCAACAGCATGAAGTGCCCTCCATGTTCTGGAGCACCAGCATGGCGACAATAAGCAACGGCCGTCAGCTCCCACTTCCTCAGGTGGAAAAAAATCCCTAAGAGTTTATCGACCTTGTATCCTACTACTTAAACAGACATTCTATTGTAACCAAGTTGTAATCAAGTTGACTCGGTGCTAACAATAGACTCAAGTGAAATCGAACTGAATCCCTCACCTACAATAATTCAGTTAGCGTGTGCTGCTACCGCAATCAAAACTAAGCAAGTGATGCCAGATCAGGTCAGGGAAAAAAGCATTTCACCGGCAACCGCCTAACGGTGTTCGTAACAGCTGACTAACAAATCCGGTCTAACAACTAATATAGCATAGATATTGTGATTTACTTTGCACAGGTGAACGGCCAATACCGGAACCTTTTCTTTCTGAGGTTATATAATCGAGTGTGGTACAACGGGTAAGGGACGTTTGTTCTTCGTGATAGGAGTATCGTGAAATGGATATAGTTACTAGATTTGTCTAATCGATTTGTACGAGATGACGCTAAACCGAATGCATCAGATCTTCCATGTTGGGGTGGGCAGTCCCGAATTGATACTCGTTAGTTGGCCAACGACAGAAGCCTTTTAGATAGATGTCCAATCCGGTCGAACCAGTTAGGTAGAGGATATTGTATCAATCCACGGTGGAGGTTGAGGACCAAGACGGGATGCATTTACGATTAGGGGCGATAAAATACCGCCCAATCATGAGCCTAATAGAAGGTCCCACTAGAAGAAGCGTTGGCCTCCAGCTACAACAGCTACCTCCGCAACAGTAGCAATATTAGTTTGTCAGCACTCCCGGGTTTACATTCTTTACACGAGCTGTCACTCTAGTGTGTCGTTCTCGTGATCGGTGAATAATTTCGGTGGATTACTGTCAACCCAAATGAATTGTCCGTTTCCACTCAGTAAAAACTGGACACACGTAACCCTACGAGGTCGACAGTACTTTCACGTATAAAAAAGCCATGAAGCGGGCGCCCATAATGCTGATCTGACTTTTTTACAAGGACCGATCGTATATCTTTTGTGTTAAGGAGCCACGTCGTTGACATCACTGACAGTGTACACGACGCCTCCGGTAAGATAAACTGACATCATGCTGTCGCTGTAGAGGTCAAATGCTGGCAAATCTGCTCCGGTTGTCCCGATACAAAAAGTGACCTCGAATTCTACCAGCCTAAACGGAAATTTATTTCCAAATATGAGATCTAAGCTTGACCCCACCCAGTCTTGTAGGGGCACTGTGGACCAGACAGGGCGGCAATTTTTTTAGTTTATACGAAACGGTTTGTATTTCTGAATAATCTGAATGAAGGAAAGAAGTAGCCTCTGTGTATCGTTTCCGAAAAAGTTTGGTGACAATCGGTGTACTTAAAATGTATCAATCAGTGCTCCCAGAGTACTTTTCATCCTGATGCCTTGAAAGTTTCAGAGAAGTTCCAAGGAGCATATCAATAACAGGCTGGAAGTACTTAAAATGTATCAGCGAATGCTCCCAGAGTACTTTTCATCCTGATGCCTTGAAAGTTTCAGAGAAGTTCCAAGGAGCATATCAATAACAGGCTGGAAAGGAACGGTGGAAGAGAATGGCCTTGCCCAAAACCAGCAGAAGTGTCCATCCAAAATTTTTCCTTGGACCCGTAGACACCAGCAGGATTTTGTGTGAAGTGATTCCCGACGACTAGAATCAAAGCTAGCCACACACTCAGAAAATCAACTACTATCATTCGTTCGAAAGGGTGACGTTGTTCAGGCATCTGTCCTGAAGTGAACCAATGCTACATGTACCTCGGGGCAGAGCAACGTGGATATTCCAGCTACCGGACCAATATCATGAAAAATTCTGCAACGTTCCTCTCCACCATTATTTAGTCTTTGTTCTGAATTTGTATAGGGTTGTGGATTGCTGATCATGGCCTCGCCACTTCCTTTGAAGAGTGAAAGATGTATTTGCATGAAAGAAACTAGCGTAGAATTTCAGCTGAGATTTCGACAACCATAAAGTGGATACATCAGTGAAGATCAACAATGGACCCCATTAGGTAGGAAGACCTCCAAAGAATTCAAACAAACGAATACAGAGGAGAATTAGGGTGATGAGCATATTAATGGCATATTGGTGATGCGATCCCTTAGATAAAAGAGAAAGAACCCCGAGCTATCTTGAAAAATTAATACGGCACCGAGTGACACCACTAGAGTTAAGGTGAGTATAACATTAGGTATACATGTATATACATATATACAATGTAATGTTTAGCGTCGCATGTGCAAATGAGAGGGAATTCTGAGTGGACTCGGCTAACGAGAACTTTTTTCGAAATGATTTAGCTGGACATCTCTATGCTGAACTGTCACTGACCCAATATTCGGGTTAAAACATGTCATGTCCTTGAAAGAACTACTTTATGGTAGTGGATTGCCCAGCTAACACTAAAATGCACTGACAGAATGGCCGTATTGATCGTTCACATGACTTACATACCATTGTGGTTCTCCCAGTAAAACACATGCATTCAGTGTGAGCACTAAACAAGCAAGGTCGATCTCATTGATGTTCCAACTAGTTACTGGTTGTCCACTACCGGCAAACAAACTACCGAATCGGCTGACTGCACCATTGCGGCGGACTTACAGACGTAAAGCAAAACGACTTGGCGTACTAGTGATAGAAAGCGTACAACATGTGAATTCACCCGAGCCAAGTGACGTTAGGGTCCAAAACAAACAACTAAACAAGATAATATATGTCTTTGCAGCAGACGCGGAAACTGACCTGGCAGCAGACGGTAGAGTAATTTTCAAGACTTTCAGAAATGTTTAACTGCACAGCAAACCCGGCATCCGGATTGACATTTGGTAATGACATCAGATCAACAGAGCGGACAAAGAAAGAACCATGGAAGGTCTGTCAAAAACAGAAAGATGTGGTGCTAGAACCGACATGTACATAGACAACAGAAGTGAAGAATAAACAGTATCACAAATTAATTTACTCATTGGCATTCTTTAGGTACATTGGTTCCAATGAACCCGGAAAAGTAATGTTTGCCGTATTACTGACAACAATAACAAGGAATATAACACCAACTGAGCGAAACGTCGAATGAATTCCATGAAGAATCAACGTATACAGTTTCGGAAGCTACAGTGAATAGTTAGTGCTGGTCAGGGTGAGTCTGCTAACAACACTCGCTTTTCAGTGATATGTGATACGGCTTGGAATGGGGGGAGGCAAAAAACCCTCCTATGATTGGAGCGAAAGCAAATGCCTCTCCAAATGGCTATATTTTCCTCGAGTTATTTTTTACTTTTTTTGCTAGACATGCTCGGTATCTGTTCTACCCTGATGACCTGAGTCAGCGAAGAGGAAATTCGGGATAGCAAACCTAAACAGGTCTACACAATGGTCGAGATGAGCGACGTCGTGCTTAAGCGTTAATAGTTGGGGCATTAGGTAGGTACTGGTGGAGAGCCACCGCACGTATAGACTGTTAACGGGTTTCGTGTAGGCGGTAGTTCTTCAGTTTCAAAATAATCTGTTTTACCCCCAGTTTGCAACCCTGGGTTCAATCCAGCTTCAATGCAGAATCAAGAATCCATGCATTCAGATCAGTCATCAAACTCACCCGAAAGTAGCCGTATTTCCTCTCTTTAACTCAATTGAGCAACTGTTTTGCAAACAATACTCCATCATTACAGGTGGTATCACCAGTGAGTGACACATTGCTAACACACAAGCACACGAGGACAGAGAGATAGGAGAAGCACCGACAGTTCTGCAGGAATTCGTACTTCGGTCGTTTTCTGTCTGTCAACAAAGACTGAAAGTACAATAAGCCTATCTCACCGTAAATTAGCTTACTTTCGATTAGTGCTAGAGGGGATTCGTTCATCTGTATCTGGAAATACGACAACTCCCAATCTAACCGTGTCAGTCAGACCATTGAAATCAGTGAATAGATCCACTTTGCTAGATAGCTATTCATTTCTGCTGATAGTATTGCAGACGAAGTGACCTTTTCTTCAACTTAATGACTTATACGGTTAACCTGAAGCCAGTCTGTTGGTGAAGGGACTAGCATCCGATAGTACAGTGCGACCAAAATGGTTGCATCAGTGTTCGAAACTTGACCACTCTGCACGGGAGATAGTGCTTCTGACTATTGATGTTTACACAGCACTGTACATGTGTGGTGGGTACACCGTGATTCCAATGCTGAACTACGTCGTATGGTATTTGGCAACTCGCTTACTGGATGCATGGTTGAAATTGTGACAACCTATCAATAACACTAGCTCGGTTATGTTCTACACATGACCGAAGACCGTTTGCCTAGATTAGTTTTACTTACAATGTGAGGATTTGAGTGAAAGAAGGTAACTAAAAGCCCAACTCACGCTCTTACTTACTCATGGTCTTAGCCGCTTGCAATGGTGGGGAGATAAGACCCATCCAACAAGTGACTGGAAGCCTTCAGCGATATGACCAAACCATGAAACTTGCGGCGCTCTTATATTCATTCACTGAATATCACTTATTGAGTTGTTCATGACCTGTGGCGACCATAACCACCGTATTCATCTACATGGTTCAAAGGTGAAAAACGGAACGGATCGTGCAATTTAACTTAGTACAGACTTGGACTAAAATAGCTCATCTACCAATTTTCCATCGAATCAATCAGATGGTAATCGGTCCTACCGTCGAACTATGTGGGCATATTCCGTACTAAGGGGCGTTTAGAAACACTGGAAGCCAGAAGACGGTAGTGCCGAGTGGGATTTCACTCTGAGAAAAGACTAAGGTAGTTGAGTGTCTCATGAGAGCAGAGCAGTGGCGAAGTGAGTTACCCTCGTACGTCTTAAGGCAACCCACCTGAATTGACAAACCATGTGTACACCGTATACGCATTACAGCTTCAAATCCGATCTTTCGGGATAAGTAACGATCAAAGTCACGTCGGAAACGTTCCAGTTCGATCGGCACTGTGTTAGGTTGCCCATGTCGGTCCAGCACCGGATGCTGTGTTCCAGTTTGTTGTGCAGATTCATCCTCATTAGAGTTTACGGGAGCTGAAGATTGGCAGGCATTTGGGGGGCAATAGAAATCTGGATAGTGGTAAACACAGCCACTGGAGAATCGAGCCGCACCGGACAGTGTTGCTATATCACAATACTGCGAGTTCATGATGAAGAGATCGACGGCAACCTGTAAAAGAGATATACAAAAGCGAATAAAAAATCGGACGGAGCTAGGTCATGTGAAAGAATACGTCATGGAAAAGGACGCCAATAACAGTAAGCAATAACAGTGCATGCTTCAATAACATCCTTTAATTTGCCTGCCACATACATACGGACGTAGACATCGCGGTCAAGGCATGGGAAAAAACAGGTGGTTGGGAGAATTCCGGAGATGGTGTGGGGAAAATAACGGTTGGACGAAAAGGAACAGCTAATTGCAAGTATAACCGGAAAGATTCACATTACAATTAGGTCCTTCAGGCGGCCGTCAAATTCTTACATTTGTCGTACTCACTCAAATAACATACACTCTAATCTGCGACTGTTTCAGATGTACTTGTTCCACCTAGAAATTGTATCCCAAGAGACTATCACTGGATCTAGTAGGCACAAAACAATAAGACAGAACAGTCAACCATAGTAATTACGGCGCGACTTTGAAAAGGTAAATAACCGACATCGTTGTGCAACTATCAATGAATTGGACGGACCTGGAGGTGAAAAAGGGTTTAATTCCATCACCGCCGAACATTCCGGAAGAGATCGAAATAATGGGATATTGAGAAAAGTCACAGACTGGGGTTTTTATTTCACTTCTATACCTTAGATAAGTGAATACGAACAAACTAAGTCATACGACAGAAAAAAGACAAGGGAATATCTAAGAAATGCTTCCTGAGCTTTCAACTGTTGGCGTTATGAAGAACGGGAGGGCCTATACACTTGTTCCCTGCTTGTGCTAGCCACCCGCTACACTTGTTTGTGAACTAACTGGAGCCACAAACTTTCTTTGAAATTGATTGCGAATGACGTATCAGTGTAGTTTGTTCTGAGGATCATCCTGCGACCATTGAGCAACCAAGCGCGATATTCAAGCCGGAGGGTTGCAACGCTGCAGTAAATACGACTAATTGTCCTACCTTATGCACCACTGAATTGTATGCAGTAATTCGTTTCAACTCAAAACAATGCGTGGGCCAACTGTGATCGTCTGTATTAAAAACACCGAATTGGTAGATGTTGTCTTAAGTGCGACGCAAAACCGCACGAAAACAGGGGAAAATGTATGCCAGTGAAACCCGGATCTTCTACAAAATTGTTTTCCTCGTTTTTTCTATCCACTTTTGCGGGACAAAGTCTCTCGGAAGGGGCCGCTTGTGGTAGGTCTCCGCAAACGTTCTTCCTATGGATTAGGCATGAAGTCCCTCAGACAGGGAAATTCCTGTGACCTCTAAGGAGGAGGACTGAAAAACCATCAGGACGTTGAAGTCTATACAGGATATCTGGGGCGGATAAAAAAAACCGTGGGTGCTCGCTTCTGGGGTACCTTCACCACACCAGAAGACTGAATAGACTGAAGAACAGGTACTTCGAATGAGCAATACTTCGTAAGTGGATTGCAAGAAAAATGCGATTCTATCATATACATAAGTATATGCAATATATTAATATATAGGGTACGCCAATTTATGGGGTGCAACAAGTCCCAGCATATTCACCAACTGATTGGTACCGCCGCTAGTGGCTTGTGCGGAGCACCACATTCGGCTCTGAGAAGTCCGTCAGTGGCTTCCATTAGGCGCAGGTATCTAGTACTCTGGTCAATAGTGGTGGGCAGATCCGATTCGGATGCCAGCATCCCATATGGTCCTGAGTAGTTATAGTGGTCTTTGTGTTAGTTTTGTGCACAGTGAAGCATAATATCACCATGTATATACATCGGGTATCACGAATCGCAGTTAGACCACTTTGATACGAACTAACCTGCTGCGCTGCACAATCAAGAGCGAAAGTCTTGTAGAAGTCGATGGCTGGACCTAGATTTTTCACGTCAGCTGAGATGCGGTCATTTTGGTCCTCGCGAACTTGCAGACTTCCTGCGCCCGTATTAGGCAAACAAGTGTTGAACACAGTCACCCGGCCTCCGGTCCCACCGATCATTTTCAGTGCAATCTGAAAAATGAAACGGGAACAAATCCGATCAGTACAAAGCACAAGTCAGCACGGTTCATAAAGTGGTTTGTGAACAGCAAGCTGTCCAGTGTTTACAGACATTAAAGCTCCGGTCAGGAGCGTGTGAAATGTACTCTGTACAGACAGATTCCACCAAAAATAAGCAGGCCCGCTCTGACTATCATCGAAATCGAGCATGTAGTGGTTAAAGCGAACTGATGGGCTCATTAGTGGAAATCCGCAGTGCAAATATACCGAATCGGCTAAGACATTATCTGAAAAACACTAAATTTCGGACTAAGCCCACTGCAAATGGATGACAAAGCTTCCAGAACAACCTCAGCCATTCAGGTAGTTTAGACGTAACCCCCAAAAAAAGAGGGACCACAAAAGTACTATTAAATTCCAATGAATATGCATCGAAAGACGGTGCCAAACGATCAGAAGCGGGTGCGGGTTGAACAACAGCCTACCTGAAGTGTTGCACCAAGACAGTTGCCCACATCACTTGTACCCTCAAAAGTGTCCGGGAGACGCAACAGAAAATCCTTTATCGCTTCGGAGGAGTCATCCAAACGGTTCATCAAACCCTCGTAATCAGGCAAAAACGGCTCTTCCAGATCGGGGCATATCAGCAACTTCATGGAATCGCCTTGAAAGGAGAAAGGAATAGAAAAAGGATTTGCAAAGATCCGCAGACGGCAACGAAACGGCTGACCGTACATATCAGTATTATTCGCAATGCCCCCATTAAACCGCGATGCCTCATTGCTGCGGAAAGAAATAACCTGTAAAACGTATTGTGAAAAGGACTAAAGTATGTAGAAGGAACGTAGATCGTCAAAAGCGTCCGCTCGCAGGTGGCGGAAACCCTACAGGGAAAGGCGCAGTCCTAATCGGACTGCCTAGCTAAAGTTCACCTGTCGTTTTTTGGTGGGCTTATGTCGAGTGAGGTACGAAAAAGACATCGGGTGACGGCGCCTCAACTTAACACTCAGAGAAAAGGTGGTATTGCATTGCTGTCCAAAGATGTACGCAACTTATTCTTGATCGTTTACCTTAAGGACAAATGGCTCCCTCATACTAATTTCTTTCTACTCTCCCCTGATGGATGCGCGGCAGTTAGGCGCAAGCATGTATGACCGGTGCGCTGTTGTCAATGATAATGGTAATGATGAGGGAACGAGAAATATCAGTTCCGTCGTTCATTACTCAACGGTTGGTTGTCTTTTGTCCGACCACAGCTAGCAATCGATCGGACTCCGAATTGGGATTCGTAAAGATTTTAACTTGAAAAGTTAGTGTTTTCGAGTTACAAAACAAAAGTATGTTTTCCACGGGCTGAAAGTAAACCCACAAAATCAATATTTACCAGGTATCTGTGGGCATACTATAATGTGGATGGATACCAGTGTCATCAGGTGCGCAACCCACAAGGCCTATTCGACATGGTCTACAAGTCCATTGCTCGAATGGCTGCTGTCAGTTTCGGCCTTCCCGCCCAAGCAAACCGAGATCGATAGTCAGTTTAATGTTACACAGTACAATCCATATATTTGAGTTTGATGGATGTGGATACTGTTGTTGTTCCCAAACTCGGCTGTTCGACCGGTGCACGAAACAACTGATTGCTCCCAGCTTATTCACGAACTTCGAAACCACTGAACGCTTGAACCAAGGGTAGATTGAGAGTGATGTGAGTTATCCTCTCGGCCCGCATCTCTGCGCTGTTGTGACCATGCAGCACTTCTGACCTATCACTAAGCTCTCTTACAACGCACTGATGACAGCAACTTGAAGCGTTTGCAATCAAATTCCCCAGCTCAGGGGACAAAAAACGACAATCTACATTGCCACCATTCTTCAACAGCAGATTGTACCACTACGAACTCGAAATTGACGATGCAAGAGATTCATTCACGGGAACTGGTTACAAGTTATGAAGGACTCTATGCTTTTCCAATCTGATGCACAAGGGAATGAATAGGTGAAGTGAGCACATAAATGTATGGATATCACGAGACAACATGCAACTTGAACGTTTGCAATCAAATTCCCCAGCTCAGGGGACAAAAAACGACAATCTACATTGCCACCATTCTTCAACAGCAGATTGTACCACTACGAACTCGAAATTGACGATGCAAGAGATTCATTCACGGGAACTGGTTACAAGTTATGAAGGACTCTATGCTTTTCCAATCTGATGCACAAGGGAATGAATAGGTGAAGTGAGCACATAAATGTATGGATATCACGAGACAACATTTTGAATGGCATCGTAGCGCCTGCCACTACCATGAACACCTTCCACCGAGTACAACACCGTGTGAAGTGATAACGCTCGGGTAAACTGCAAATTGCGCCAACTGATTCAGTCGGCTCAGTGTGTATGAATAGGCCAAAAGCACGTCCATGCACATCCATCGAAGATGCATGCATGCGATGCATGTTTATCGTCCTCTGTTGATAGGTATGGATAGCCAATTAAAGCGCGGCAGTGATGAGGCCCGCAATCGATAAGCGTGTGCAACCGAGAAACGGCAGCTCGGCGATACAGCCAACGCACTAAGGGTGACATAGTGTAACACCACTCCGTCTATGGGTCGGTGCAGCACGTAGAGGAAATCACACGGAAGGTGAGTGTGGCCGTTCGGACTGAAGATGCATAACTTATTGGTGACCGTGAAAGATACTGGTGAGTTAAGGGTTCCGAAACGTGAACCGACTACACAAATTGTGAAGATGGACATAAGAGCAACAAAGACCACACACACGCATTCATCGACGGTCCTAAGTAAACCACTAAACAACTCGACAGTGTCTATCAACACCACACGATTTTTACCAACCACCGAAATGAAATTCCAAAACATAGCCTGACTTGAACTGCTATGAATTTTCCCTCCAAAAACAAAGCTTTAGTGCAATACAGGAATACACTTCGATAGATAAGGGCATCTAACGAAACAAACAGCAGTGACCTCAGGAGATACAGTCACCGACGGCGAATCGGATGGTCATAAAGCAGAACAGCTAACCATTGAGTGTGACCGATTTGTTCCAGGTGGGACACTACTTGATCAGGCTGTCTGCAAGTGTCACTAATCAATGGACTGTTTCGTCTCCGGGTCCCCACGAAAACAGGCGGTGGTAACGATACCAATGAGTTTGCTGGTCAGTTCTCCTGTACATAATTGCCTATTCACACACCGAACACCATTAGGTTGTTTCATAGCTGTGGAGGACTGGAAGGAAACGGTTCCAAAGGGAAAACTGTACATGAGGTAGGTGATCTAACAACGGAGGCCTTCTCTGATATACTACGGCTGGTCTGGTTGTGATCTCCATAGTAGGATTGCATGTAATCCGCCATCATAGACCTTCCCTTGGAGAACTAAAGGTCACAATATTACCATTTAGACGTCTCAAACACATGGACCAAAAAGGAGAAACTTCAATATTCTGGCAAGGATCCAAAACCCACACAGCTTCACAAAATATGAAAAAAATCAACCCGGGTACCCAAAAGTTGTATAAGTACCGAGTGAAGTGTGACAGATGAGATCAACGCACGAAACTCGGACCACGTTTACTATTTTGGGATACCTATGGGGACAAAGCGGACTGCATTTGAATCTCGACAGACGTGGGTATCACGCCACATGCGGACTGTTTTGTTGTGTGGATGTGAGATAAGGCTGCTGCGAGCAGCCAAACTGAAACGTCCTCAAGTCTTAGACAACCGCTGACTGAGAACCATGGCTCACACAGGCTGATGTTGGCGAATCCGCAACGAGACAAGCAGAAAACGAGTGCTCGGTTGTGCAACAGGGACTTCAATCAGAAAATATGTCCAGCACCAACAGCTGTCGCAGTGTGGTCGTGTGCTGCGCATCACAAATCATAGTTTGTTGAAAAGAGTGCTGTCCCTAATTCATGGTGGACTATCAGATTGGTGGTCGACCTTCGACCTAGTGGTGTATGAAGTCGACTACGAAAAGTCTGGTTATTGTCGGTGTGACTCGCATCCAAGAATGCAGTTCATGTGATCTCTCCTGTGCACAGTTGGAGATGCAGTAAGATATGACTGATAATCGGTGTCTATGTCGCTCTTGTTGTCAGTTTCTATCAAGAGAGTCTAACTAAGTGTACGCACTCCGCAGTAGTTGTGGTAAGCTAGTCTCTATTGAATTTAAGTCCTCACTTTCATCCTCAGTTTCATAATGGGGATTTTAAATAGACTACAGCTGTACGGCAGAGAAGCATCCGTGCTGCCCATGAGGCATTCAGAAACAACTTGGAGGCAACGAAGTAGCTGACAGCTCTCAAGTAACCTGTCCACTTGTTAGTCGCTACACAGGCCAAAACGAGAAGCATTCTATACTCGGACAGGTCAGTGATATAAAATAGCAGTGTGGATGTGTGGTCTGCAATCGAAATTTGTCCTTCTAGCGAGACGGATCTGATTTCCATTTCGTCTCCTACCATGCTGTAAAAATCCTGATATGACTGAGAAATTGAATGAGGACCAATCGACTTCACAACATCAATGAGAACTACAGGTACAAACAAATCTCACCGTCTTTTTTAAAATGGATAGCAGAGTGTATTCTTATTCCTGAATAAAGCAATCTGCCTTACTAATGCGAACCGCCAGCAAAAATCTTTTCCTTTAGGAAAGAGCTAGTCCTTCTAGAAAAAGGAAGTGAGTTGCCATAGGGCATACAAACAAGCTACAGTGCCAACTTTTTAAGCTGTCTTATCTCCGGATTCTGTTTTCTCTGATATAAGGCAAATGATGCATTTAGTCAACTTTCCATGGTAGGGAGTTCATGAGATGCGTGAATGTTGCAGACAATGTACCCACGTCTATAAACAATTTGACAGCACGCTGGTCACCCCTTGTTCAAGTGATAGCTGAATTCCATGTGGACTTGCGTAGGCTTTCTGTGCGACAATACATACGATGAATTCGCCTTCATCTATTCTCGATTTTACCTGGACCAAAAATGCAGGGAAGTTATTATTAGGTAACGACCAAAATCGTTCGATTTGTGCATTGTGTTCACTGTTTTGCACAAGTTCCCTTCTCTTTAACGTTAATCTTGGTACGAACATCATACTGCAGAAGACAAATTTTGCTTATCACACGTAAGCAGCATATGACATCACCCGCTTATCTATTGGAAACTACCGCAAGCTTATGGCTGCGACAAGCTGGCGAAAATTAGGTCGATAAGTTTTACTTACCATGCCGTTGTATTCCTAAATGTGAACATTAAGCTTATGAATACAGGCAATCATCCAACGTGATCTGCAGAGAGTAGGTATACGCTGATAAAGGTTGTAAAAATGACCAAGACGGTTATTTTAGGTATACATTATACGGTCTGCAATAACCAGTCAGTTAAGGTGACCTTCAAGGGTCCAAGACCAGGATAGGCAGGCGCACGTATATATTTGTTCCATGGTAAGAAGTGCGGTTAGAAGAGCACTTCCGCCCTCATAGAATTAAAGCCAACTAATCAAACCTTCGGACCCATGTGCATCGCATATACATGTGTAACAACAGCATATAAACTGAGACTGGAAGTCCAGGTCGTAAACGCCTTACCACTCACGGTTGGGCGCTGTGAAGGTCAAAAGATCAGGCCGTTAGTCGGTGAACTATTGAGGCTAGCTCTGATTGGCCGAAAGGTTTGGCCCCACAACCAATCATACTTCAGCTAAACGGTTACCAGTGGCGCGTCCAGACGTGCGAATTTCTAGAATATTGCCACTGTATTTACTCTAGATATGATGCGCTGCATGAATTTTGACTTGTTTTTGGCGTTCAGAAAACCAAATAAACCTTTGGCGGTTGTCCATCCGGAACCACTTTAGGGGACCAGTGTCTGGAAGCCAGCCGACCCTTGTAACCGAAGAGCACGTCAGTTGGACGGACGTGTCAAGGGCGGGCTACGGACCAGGCGAAGGCATGCCCTAATTGGCCAATATGGATCGAGCATCTTTAGCTCAATGCTCCTCACCCCCCTCACGGAGATTCTAGCACGACCTTGTGGAACGTTCCGTGAACATCTTATCAATGTAGCCGCAAGAATCTTTCTTTGTCTCCATAAAAGGCTGTCTGCCTTTCGACGTACCATAGTGAGCGGAGCAGGAAGCCAAGGACCGACACAGAGTCGCACGACCGTTCAACAAGTCATCACAACCAGGCCCATAATATAGCGGATGTGTAAGTGATTTTTTACATAGTGTCACTTTCCCATATGAACTGAGTGGGTTCTCGAAAGACACCGAAGCATCCTAATGCTCTGGGACTATCCTACGCCTCTCAATCGCCGGATTCCGTTTAAGGAGCTTCTTTATCTTAACACCTTGAGAGTACCATGAAGTTTCATAAGAACGCGAAGGCAATCAATTGTACTTCAACTCTATCGAACAACTAAAAGCATCTAAGTGTAATAATTTGAATCCGAAGTCCACACCACTTTAAATGGGTAGTGTATTTATGCAGAAACCGGTAGGCAAAACTTGATTGACGAATACTCCAATGATGGTGAAGATTAACCATAACTAACGCATCTGTGTTGAATCAAATGTGCTCATATTGTGCACCTTCAGGCGATACATGTGGGGAGGTATTAGCTTTCCGGATGATGAGATTCCTCGAAATGCACCTTATACTGGAGTGTAATATTACACAACTAGCTGTAGTGTCGCTAATATAGTTACTGTCTGAAGGCACGCGAATAAATATTCACTCGTAAAATCAGTCCAATTGCCCTCTCACGAGTATTCTATTCTCAGAAACCACTGTATTTACCCCAAGTGCTACCCAGAATTTTAATTAAACCGCGGAAGTCTAATAGTGTAAAACACTACCTATCAGGTGACAATAGGAGTAGGCCTAAAACTACAGCAGCGCATGTTCAATAAGGTGATTCCTGAGAAAACGAAAGAGGGGTCAGTGTCTCCTAAAAAATTCAAACCATCGTGTTTGTGCCTGACCAACACAGTGAAGCTGTTGCTGTAATAATAATAATAATAATAATAATAATAATAATAATAATAATAGTAAAAATAATAATAATAATGCTGATGACAGCAACTCCAGAGCTTCACCGCCGGAATACGAGTGATCGACTAGTACCTGTTCACTGCTTGTTAACAGCGCCATAACCTTCATGACCATTGTCAAAGTGAAGCAAATCAAACTGCTGCGCGGCGCTAATGAAGAAGGCGGGCATTCCGGGCTCGTAAGCTAAACCAAAACCAAACGTCCACCTGTTGCAACTGTGAGGAAAACTTGGGTTGCAAAATAGACTTACCACAGAGTTTATAAAAATGAATAGCTGAGTCAAACGTGATGAATCCTATTTGACGGCGGCAATCTCCAGGAATCTTATTCAGTGCATTCACGATCCGTTCGCACGTAAACCGCAAATAACCCGTAGCGATGGCACCGCGACTCACGTCGAAACAGAACAAGTAAGTAGCCGGTTGTGGTGGTCTGAGCATGTATTCTGGAGGCGCTATGAACTCTACCGTGGCCGAACGGATTTCCGGTCGTCTGGATGGATCACCGTAAGACTGAGTACCGGGGTCATAGAAGAAATCGTCTGGAACGGTGTTAGACAGAAAGCACACTGGGCATCTCCACCGACGACCAGAATCGACGAATTGAACAAACGGATTAATGTAGGTTCGGCAGGATCGACACCGTACAATGACTGTTGATGTGATGGTGTGAAGGCTAGACAAATCGCGAAACGGATGCATCACCAAACCCAGAGGCAATCGACAACGAGAGAGTAATTTTGAAGTCGATGGGAAGTTGGTCAGCGTACAACGCATGATGTCCGGATCGCAATTAACCTAAACGGAAGGAAAATGTCCCTGTCATCAAACCAGGCAAAACAGGCTTCTAAACCGTTACAGCGCTTTCTTTGAGTTGCAGTGCTTGGCAGCTTGCGCAGTGAGTGACACAACTAACCATACATAGTAATACGGGGGTAGGAAGACCTGACAAATCACTCAACTATACAAAGGGTGTTGAAACCGATTTCTCTATGGGAGTTGTCTTCTGATTGGACTGTCTCCCAGTGATAACGAAATTCGTCACGTGTATGTCTGTACACTCATGCGCTGACAGTTGGGCTTGTTTCTGAAAAATGTGTCCGGAAAAAAGGTGACAAAGGTTGTCAGTGGTCGTCGTTATGCGGCGACTCTAAGGAAGTGTAAAAAGTACCAGTGACAAATGTCCAACTTGACAACGGTCGGTGCCACAGGCGTATTAGCAATCGGTTGGACAGAACATGTCATTCAACGGCGTACAAGCGTACTATGCTGTGGAACGCGATCTAGAGAGAAAGAGACGCAACTAATGTGGTTTGCACTGAGATGGAGAGATGCAAACGCTAACTCCAAAGGCTAAACCTAACTTTCTGGATGGTCCAGAAGTGGATTATTCCGGTCCTCATTTTTTCCATGTTGTCTGTTGCTCGTTTTGGTGGCTTTGGCATCTTGTGAGAAGTCGGCTTCAGGTATTTCAATGCTGGACCTGGACAGGTATGTTATTCAGACATTTGTACCCCGCTGTCGTTTCGGTGACCAAATTTTTTGGAATTTAATACACTGCTCAGAAGTAACTCCATCATACCAACATATGCCACATCATCATCATATGCCACAAGAGACAATCGGGATAAGATAAAGTAACTTCATAATGAGTTAACTGGGCGAGGAGCTATGAGGCAACGAGTTGTATAGCAGTAAATCGGCCTGGTAGCAAACTGCCGAAAAGCAACTGATTGTATGGACAAGTATACACTAAAAAAAAACACTGGCCAACTGATTGATGGACAAGTATACCCTAAAAAAAAAAACTGGCGAATCCAATGCCAATTTTGAGGATGATTCTGGACCGAAAAGCAGGCAACAAAGTCCACTTAATGACGGTATTGTTGGGTGCTGGGAGATACACTGATGAGAAACTTGTGTACTGAATCGACTGCGATTTTTGAATTCATTAGAATTAAAAATCATAGTAGAAGCTCTATGGGCAATGATGCGGACATTTTCAAACAGCTGGCCTACTATCATATGAAATGTACAACTGTCGGAAACGGTTCAGTAATGTCTCAACGAAACTATGACTGCACCCAAAGTCACCCAAAATCGGATAGTTAAGTCCTGATTGGGCCACCAATTAATCCAAGGAGAAATAGAACAGCGAAATCTGTAGGTTTTGTGCGCCAATACAGATTGTATGGTCGCAAGTATGAACCTTAATACGAAATAAGCGTCAAGGCGCCCAGACATGTGGTCATCTGGACAAGCTCATGTTTGTTGCTCAAAAGTACACTGGAGACCACGCACTTACGGAAGTTGAAATTGCCGGTTTTGGGGGAACCTCGGCCGTGTCTGATGGCAGCAGATTGTTCTCTTGAAGAAGTCCGATGGGAGACTTCACGTGACTCCACTCGGCAGCGGTTGCTGCAGTCCCTGGACTGCGGAAAAACGCCGAATGGTTAGCCGGTCCACCCTGTCGTGGGTAATTGGGCTGCAATGTGTTGGGCTTCGGAGGCAGGTATGGGTGCGTCGTAGGAGGCAGGCTAGTTCTAATGCCGATCTGTTCCGTGTATGAAGTTACTGGTGCCTGCCCAGCTGTGGTAGGCGCTAAAGGCGGTGTAACGGGAAGGGTGCGAACATCGTTGGCGATCCGGGGAGGATATTGGGGAACAGATAACGGGTTTCTATGATACATCTGTTGGAACTGAGGGTTCATAGCTGGGGGAGGTTCAGATGAAGCAGTGACAATCGGTTGTACCGGACCGGAATTCGGAATCGATGGAACCTTAGGGCCCGTAAGCGGAAAAGTAACCGTGGGATCAGAACTGAAACCAGTTGGTGGATTTGTCAGCTTGTTGGGTAGCGGAAAACCAGAGGTTACCAAGAGTGGCGTCGGCACTGCCCGCGAACAGCTCACTGGAGGTAAGAGTGGTTGTATATTAGGGCCTGGCGCCTCCGTGGGTGGATGGTGTAAATGTGATTGATCGCGTTGTTCTGCCATCCGAGGTGTATGGGATGTTAATTCCGTCACCGAACTCATACTAGGGGATAAGCCGTATGAACTACTTTGAGTAGGAGAAGGGTACGTTGCTATCGATTGTACTGGGTGAGTGGAAGGATGGGTCGGAGGAACCGCGGTTGCGGAAAAGTAAAGATTTGTCGAAGTAGGTTGCTGAATATGACCCGGATTTGGCGTGGGCAAATGTTCTGAGCATGGCAGGGCCGCGGACAGAGCCGGTTGCTGTGATTTAGCAATCTGAACCTCAGGAAATTGGTCCACCTGGCCAAACTGACCACGAACATCTAGTGAAATGGATGGTTGGACAGCACGCATGATTAGATATCAATAGTGCTGATGAGACAATCATAAGAGGGAGTCAATTGAATACATTTTGTGAGTGATCCAAAGTGCCGGAAAAGTCCACTGTGACCTAGTTATGGAAATCTTTATTAGGTCATGTATCATCGACCACAGTACACCAAAATAACTCTCGTGCAACTTATATCGGTATTTTTAAACAAAAGATGGAAACTCGAGGACGTCCTTTGCATCCACGATGCAGCGCCAAAATACCACGAACAGGAAGTATGTTAATGAAAACGTATTTTGCAACACCGTGGAGAAAGCAAAAGCATTAAACCCCTTAGCTGTGGGACCTATTCGGTACGGTTCTGTTAGACGAAAGTCTATAAGAGCCGTCAAAAAACATAGTCCTTAGCGTGAGAGCTACCACTACATCACACAGATGGTAGCGCTGAATGTATTGTATAATCTAGTGCACAAAACTCCTGAAAACTCACCATCAGAGACAGAAAAATCAGTGTTGACACTGATGCTTCACTGGTGGAAAACCACAAAGTTCATCTAAGTATATTTAAAGCCTTCGAGTGAAAAGAAAAGGGAAAAGAGTGAATGAGGGAGACCTAGTGCTGGCCTGTCACAAGCATTCTGATGCGCTTACATCTTCAAACACTCAATCAGATATCTGAGAGGAAACTAACAGCACGAACGCCACTGACGTCCATCAACCGCTATTTCTCGCAACGTCTCCAAGCAAGCGCAGGCGGGGTCACGGGGACCCTGTAATGGAAGGCGTACAACACTAACAACTACCAAAATCGTAATCTCTTCCAGACCCTTCTGCCCTCGTGGTTTGCGCCATTCCGAAGGAGGCACGGAGAACAACACTCGTCTCAGTAGAGTGTTCCAGCACACGTGGAACATGGTCGAATCGCCGTAGTTGACGATGCTGGGTGTTTCCCGCTATCAAAGTATCTTGCTGCACAGCCAAATACCCATTTTCTAACCACCTCGCTACTAGTTAGCTGATGCCATCCGCTTGAGGTATCGGTAGTCAGACATCTCGCACAGTCTGTCTCGCCGGCATACAACAATATGGCCCTTACTGTAGCCTGGTACACGCAACCCTTAAAACTCGGTGATATGCCTTCTTGAGGCCATAAATGAAGCAAATCAGTAAACGTGATTCGGGCCTTTAAGATTAGTGCACTGACTTCATCAGACACGTTTCCGTCAGAGCTAATACAACCACCGAGGTATGTAAAATTCTCCAAAACCTCCAATAATTCTCCTTGGATTGTAATGGTATGCTTAGAGACAGTACGTTCTGAAGCATGACTTTGCACCTACTTATACTTCGCCTGGGTCCTCAAAGATGAGGGCGATGTTGTCTGCGTAGTCCAGCACCAACCAGGACTAGGGGTCGAAGATAATTCTGATCGAACAAAAGTCCGACGAACAGGTTCGAATACTAACAGCGTAGCTCCTGTCACATTTCGCCATGCTTCATTCAAGTACTCGTTGCTCGTGTAGTGTTGGTTCACTTTAGGCAACAGTTGGCAAGCTCATATCGATATTGCTGAGCTATGATGGTTCTCTTAAGATATTGGACAAGCATCCATCTTTCTGACTCGTGAGGACCTGCATGAAAGCGAATTGAGACCTGCACAAACAATGGGATGATCGGAATCCGGTTGTATGCCCCAGAAGGAACAGTGATCGTGAATTGTGGCCGTTCACCGGTGGCTGATAGTCATGTAATTTGATACGGTCCACCATTGATTTGCACCTGGTAGCCACTAGGTTACGCGTTTGTGTTAAAAATTCGTGTTGGCTAGAACCGGTTGATGGTCAGCACACAACTGGGAGAGTCACTGCGAGCATCGACTCCGAACCGACCACCCAGGTATGATTACAATGAGCTGAGAATATCACCTTTGGCATTCAAATCGTCCGTAAGCATCACAGTGTCAGTGCTTCTTGCTTGATGAATGAGTCCGGATAAACCTCCATAGAAAACATCCTTCGCAGCGTCAAGATTGCAGTCCGTTGGGGCACGTGCCACCGCTGCAAACAGAGACCACCTTTTATGACGAGTAGTGTTGAGCTGGAGTGAGTCGGGCAGCTCACCTGCAGTCAAGGTAAACCGCTGGGTAGGCCATTCATAACCCGTCCGTCACTGGAAGACGATAACCCCACGGGATCATTGCAGCATTCGAGCCAGACCACCAAGTCAAGGTCAGGACCGACTAGGGGAAAGAAGTGCTGATTAACCGGACCTGCACGAGCGATGCGAAGAGTAGACCAGGGTTCGGACAGTCTCAACCGTAGATAAGCTTTATGGATGACCTAGGTGCTTCGCCACATTGCAAGCAAGATTGGAAGACCGGAAAGGTAAATGTAAGGGGCTTACNCGACTAGGGGAAAGAAGTGCTGATTAACCGGACCTGCACGAGCGATGCGAAGAGTAGACCAGGGTTCGGACAGTCTCAACCGTAGATAAGCTTTATGGATGACCTAGGTGCTTCGCCACATTGCAAGCAAGATCGGAAGACCGGAAACGTAAATGTGAGCGGCTTACTGTACTCTCTTTAAAATTACAACGCGCTTTGAAAACAAAAGTTAACTATTGGCTAGTGATAGTGCGTCACGCCGGTTGAATTAGCCTCAATTCAACTAGTGGACGGGCACGCGGCCGCTGAATGAAGTGGTGGTAATGATGATCTACCGAAGCAGGTTTTGGTCATTAGTCTGGTGCGCTATGTCAGAAGTCAAAACAAGGGCGCGAACTGCTTTGGTCAATGAATAGTTCAATTCCGGCTCCCACGGCAGTGTCTGAGACTTCAATATCTTCTGGTTCCAGCCTGCTGAATTAAGTGAGATACTACAGTGCGTCGGCCCGTCCAGGACTGGTACTTGATTCTGAAAACACTCTAGAGGTGGAGTGGCCCGCCACTGGAAACGTTTAGCGCCTTACACAGGGCTTTTCGAACCAAAAACATCAACGAGCACCTTGAGATCCACCAATAAGGCGAGCTTACAACCATAGAGTATTTTATAGACGTTCCTGACGGTAAGCACCATTACCAAAGCCTCCTGATCTATCTGGCTGTAACTGCGCTCAACTGGCGTTAAGTGTCCTGTCGCATGCCCCGTAGTTTTCCGGTTGTCGTCAGGACGTACATGCGAAGTAACCGAGCTAACGCCATAGCTCAAAGAAACCGACGCTACAACTCTTAGTTATGGATAAGAAGCAAATCAGAGCACAGCATGGAGCTGACAGAGTCGAAGGTGTGGTAGCATTCTTCTGATCACGTTCATTTGTGGTTTTCGGAGAGCAGTTGGTTCAGTCAGCTTCCGATGAATAACCCATTTGCCAAAGCCTAATTATCACCATTCGGATCACCGCTTTCATGGAGCATTTCATACTGGTGAGTACATCTGAGAGCGTGGGATGCCCTGTAAAGCTACAGAACGATACGGAACGCTATTATTAGTATAATAAATGTGAATTTACACTTGTCTTCCACATCGGGATATGGACTTAGTAAGATGACCGAGCTTCAGGAAAAGTTGTTAACTGAACACTACCTCAAACATATCAGAGGTTCACAGCATACAAAGATTACTTGAGGCTGGGCAGTCGCACTGGCGTCTAAATGACGTGAAATCTAACACCTACAAGGATATGTTGAGTAAACCTGATAAATAATAATAACCGTTCAGCTGTAACACCCTTCCGGTGTCTAGCTGCCATGCCGCCCGAAGAAAGCGCGAAGGCTGAGATACTACCAGGATGCCCAAGCATAGACAGGAACAGTCAAGACACGGGGGCAGGAACCACAGACTTTCCGGTAAGTCCGCAGCTTCACCACAGCTATCTCGAGCCCGATAGAGTACGGCGTGCTACCTTCTAGGATGGGGTTGATTCAATATGACGAATCATTAGTATATTTCCTCTATCCCACGGTCGTCGCCGATTGAAACCTATAGATGACCCAAAGATTCTATCGTTACTGTAGCGGGACTCCTGTGTTCTACGGCCGTATCTGACAAAACGACCCATAGCATGTATTAGATGCATGAGCAAATCTTCGGCTGTGCATTCCCGTGTAGTGTTTTCTCCAAGGTTGGCTTAGAATTCAAAAAGATCAGATATCACTGTACTAAGATAAAAGCTAGAAAATTTAGACTTACCATTGGCGATAGGAACAGAGTTTTGCCATCCAAATGAAGGTAGGGAATCAATCGAACCGGATTCACTTGGGTGTGCAGAAGGACGAAGACCAGAACACGGATCCCCGTTTTTCATTTGCGCGTGTCGTTGTAAGGATGAAAGACCCGTGGTCTGGCTAATGCTCAGATTAGGCCGAGTAGCGTTAGGATATACTTGTGCAGGTAAGGGTGCACCAGCGTTTATTTCATTCCATTGCGGCGGGCAAGGAGGGTTTGTTCTGAGGGCTACAGAAGTGGGGCTGCTAGCTGATATCTGAAAAGTACTAAGTGCATCGGTGGAGGACGAAGATAGAAATGATGGAGCCCCTGAATCTCGACAGTTGGACGGTGGTGAAGTGACTTGTTGCTCTGGATTTTGCTGGGGAAAAACAAAATGAGTAAATGGTCAGTATATAAACAGGATAAACTGGGGAATTCGCAATACACGTAGGTTGGAAACAAACGCATGTGGTCGAACATCAATAGATTGAACTAGTAACTGCAGTAACTAAGGAGCAGAAACAGCTGTTGGCTGAAGCTAGTAAAAATAGTTTTAGTAATAATAGTAGCTACCCTGACGAATGCTGGCGAGATGGGTTAGAGGGCGAATTTCCTGACCGAAAGGTTCGAACCCGACCTCAGCCTCTCGTTGTCCCCTGTCCAGGAGTGGGCACCTCGGCAGTAACCCAACCTTCGAACTTCCTTTTGGTGGCATGAAAGTTGAGCACCGAGAGGACGTTAAAGCTGAACGATTTTTTTCAATGCTGTGGTCGGAGCACCATCATACACTCAAACCGGTTGGAAGGCAGTAAATTCCTGCGAAAGTGGCCTGAGCGTCAAAAAAATTCCCCTGAGCAAAATCCTTTTTTAAGAAACTATCGAAGGGATAAGATGCTCCGAGTTTATGGGAAATGCTATCGGTTTGTGTCGCACCTTGGCAACCAAATAAAAGCGCATGACTACTGCACTGGTTCGCACCTAGTTACGGTGTTGGATACATTCTTAAGTTGAGATTCCTGGCAACCGATTATCACTCTGTAGGTCTGAGACGGTGCTTGCAACGCCTCAGATACGCTGCTGGTAGAGCTCATGTCTCACAACCGTGCAGCCAGACGGCCCGCATGACATTAGAGATTGCCATCACACGCATTTAGAGTCAGTACCCAAAGTCCATTGCAGATTCGTGCGTTCACCTCATCTGCCACACTATGAGTAAACTGAATACAGCTCCCAAGGTACTTACAGCGCTCCAAAATCCCAACTCTTTGGAGCATAACTTTACACCTAAAAATAATTCGGAGGACCGCCACACCAGATTTGTGGACTATTGCAATTTGCAGCGACATAACACACGGTGCGCCGAGATAAGCTCTCATACTGGTCGAATATGACATTAAGTATGGAATATGGGATTCAGCCCTCGTGCTTCCTTCGGGTAGCATGGCAGCTAGGTACCGAAAAAGCACTACAGCTGAACGATTATTACTGTTATTATTATTATTATGGTATTCAGATATATTTCAGTTTCTACGGCACTAACTACGGGGACTCTCGGTGGTCATCATGAGAACACGAGATGGGGATGTTTCTGGTTAACCCAGAAAGAGGAGCTAGAGACCAGTCCAGTCTCAACATCGTGTGACACCGAGTGGGAAGAGCCACGTAAACTGAAGATCACCGTGAGCACATAACTACAGAACAGCAAGTTCACCAGAGAAGACATTTGTCAGCTAAGTCAAGTTCACCTTATGTTAGGAACCGATCGACCGGTCATCGTTTTAGGAAAGGTTAGTTAGCAATCTGTGAAGTGATCGGTTGTCGGTCTTAAAAATCAGTTATCCTGGCAAATATTTGCTTGGCTGAACAAGAACTTTGTGTCAAAGGAGGAAATTTGTTCAGCAACAAGTCCATCAACGGCTAGCCAAAAACTTTATGAAACAAATCCCTTTTGCATTCTGACCAGTTTAAGACAATTTTCTCACATCATACCAAAACCTCAGTGGGTAGCCTGGTGTTTGACGAGCACGCAGTCCTTCCGAGCTCAAGACAGCTCAGTGGTAAGGCTCCAGCTTACGGATCGGACGGTCCGTGGTTCGAACTCGATCTCATCATCTCGACTGCATCTGTTTAGGCTTCGGAAACCCAACAACATCCCAGCACTCGTGCATTCTCCCACTGGCATGGAAGCCAGTGATGCTACAGCTGAACGACGACGATGTAGTCGTTCTGCCCGGGAGGCAGGGTGCTAGTAAAAGGCAGTCCCAAGGTTTGGGATAGCAATTAGTGCATGGCTGATTTGCACCGAAGCCAGGTTAAAAAATTAGGTTCAAAAAATACTGGTATTATTCTTACTAAGGTCAATTTGAACTATTCTATCAGCTTTTCGAATTGTCTGTTCAAGCTATTCGACACGACTAACACTGAACACTGGACGAAGACACCAGAGCTTACTGATGACAGAAAAGTGTACCAGAAACTAGCGACTACGATAACACACACACACATCCCTCAAACGCCGGATAATCAAGAGCCTGAAAAATGATAACGCTGGTGGATTCCGAAGGCCCAGGAGATGGAGCAGGCTTTAGCCGCGTCCTATTTCAGGTGATTCGATCAGTCGGACAAAAGAAGACAAGCGCCAGCGAAATAAAATGCGAATAAAGATGGGACAGCAATTCATCCATACAGCTGTGGTTTTGAGCGATGGTCTGGATGCTATAAAACGAAGTTCAGCTGGCCTTCAAAACCTCTGGAAGAAGCTGACGAACCGGAGTGGAACACGAACACTAGCCGCCGTCAACGTCAGAAATCGAGCGAGATATCATTTATCCGACGGATGGTTTGCACTCCGGCTTTTCAAAGACGATGAGCCCGTGGGGAACAGAACTATGAGCCGACTGCGGAAGATTTGGGACAAAGGCGGAATACCAGTGGGATGAAGTGCGTCGACAGGTCTTCAAAAATGGCGCAAGAGCGTCCTATGGAAAACATCATGTATCAGCCTAGTAGTCACCGCCAGCTAGATGCTCACTGTCGCTACTTTGCGCAAATTTTGTGAAAATAAAGCTGGGTTTCATCCTGGCCGAGGATCCATTGACCCTATATCTAACTTCACTCTAATCTCTATCCAGTGGTCATCGTGAGTGCATTCTTCGTGAGCGACGATAATGATTCAGCCCTATCCACGCCAGGCTAAAGAAGCACAACGGATGAAATGCTGTCAGTTTACCCGAATCCGCACAAAGGTAAGTGAAATGCAGTGGCTGGGTTTGAACCACGGTCCTTCCATTCACTAAGCTCGCACCTCAGCCGCTGAGCTATTTCGAGCCCCCTGGTCGACGTTGACGTACAGTTCGAGTATCAGCTTAATGAATTTCTGTTCAAAATTAGATGTTTTGGTTCACGGGACCAAATTCGGCGTTTTCACGTCTACTTGCGTACGTGCATGATGAACATCAGCACCTAGCTCAGTTTCCGACTTCTGTCCTCTGCGCTGACCTGCCCCAGCAAGTCTCCGAAACCCCTCTGTTAGGCGGAATCCCGTGCCGAAACCGCCTTACCGCTCGTAGTTAAGCTGCTTCGGCCAGGAGGTCTAACCCACACCCGACTGATTAAAAGATCGGGCGACCCGCCTGTTCAGAATAAACTATTCTTATTTGTCGGAAATATACAAAACCAATCATGATTCAGTGCCCGCTGAAAACCAGTTGCCAGGCATCCGAATTTCCAGGATGTTGTTAGTGCATACACTTTAAACACGACGCGCTGCACACAGGCTTCTCACCTGGTTTTAGGGTTTTAAGCGCTTGATGCATTTTGTGCGTTGGTTCTTTTGCTGAAAACGCTAGCCTGGGAGGATCAGACCGAGAATTGAGCTGACATTAACGTCATTGCACCCTCGGTGCATCAAGACCGGAGCAGGGTTTCTAGACCACTGCAGGAACTGTATGCACCATATGTACACCTGACGGAAAATGGCAACCAATTCGCACGTCCACAGGGCAATGGTCCTACCTATCTTGACAGGCAACATTGAAATGATTACCTTTTACCGGTGCAACCTCCGACACTTAAGCAGTTTTCGCATCCACGTCCTGAAGCGGATATTTGAGGTTCGCTAAACTCAATAAGTACCGGATACGGAATGGGGGTTATGACTAAATTTAATCATCTGCGATGGCCGAAAAATGTTTACAGAAAGAAACCGAACAGGCTTTCGAAGTGGCTTCTATGTGAAGAACACGAAGAAACGGGACCATGGTAGACTAAGGCTGCGATATCCGAATATCTACTAATACTACTATCTAACACTACTTGGGCGTCTCTGTGTCTAGCTGTATCTCATGTGTGGTGCGGGTCACGAGATACCCTTTGCATACGCCATGAGTAGGACGTATTTATTATGTCAAAGATAGTGACCTAACTGGGTCGTCGCTGATTGTCTACAAAGGATCTGGCTGGGTTGCCAACCTGAACATTGTTCTTCAGTCCTACCTCCAATCTACTTTATACTCGTATTACACTTGTCATCATTCAATCTGGCAGTCGTATTACACTGTTTTCTTGTTCTGATTTGTAATTTAATACACCATGTCGTATTGGTGTATCCATGTGCAGAAGACCCGTGCTAACACTCACGACATCCCAGAGTGACCACCGTAGCTCAGGTCTAGCCGAAAGATAGCTGGCACAACCTAAAAATATGTGCACCTAGAATGGGTTTCCTGATAGGTAACAGCCACCAGATGCCCACACTGTGATTTTCGATGTGGTACCTGTTAGACTTGACGGTCGTGGGCCATCAGTTGGGCATACCGCCAGCTTCCAAACTGCCCTCCGTATTTATTCGCCATGAATTATACCGGGACACGCATGTGGCCCAGCTCAAACCGTATGCGGCATTACCCATTGTGCACAGATGTCCATAGACGGAGTTCGATGTGAGAGACCGATAGAAAAACGGACCCTGACTCAACACATGAGTCCGGGAAACTACATATCTGAACTAGAGTGCGCCCCTGAAAGGGAAGCTGACTAGGGTGGTGCAGCCCTTCAGGATGTGTTTTGCACCCACAAAGACCAGTCACGATGTTCACGAAGTAGTATCTGAACATGCCTCCAAGAATCCAAGGACAGATACTGGAAGTTGTGGAACAATATACACGTATCTGGAGTTGTAGTAACTCTGAAGGTAATGTGAAAGATGAAGTCAACGCACGAATATCAAGGGTCATAAGTGCACTTGCCAATTTGTGCCACTAATAGCAACGAAACGATCTATCACTGGGTCTCAAGGTAATCTTGCATCAGATTACAATTTTCGTTCTTTTGTTTACTGTTTTGTTGTACGGCTACGGGACTTCGCCACTACGGGTGGAG